CACACACACACACACACACACACACACACACACACACACACACACACTCTAAAACTAAATCTGTTCTTACAGTTTTTCTACTCCATGTAGATTCATGACAGCTCATCAAATTTAAATAGAAATGGCCTATTATGGGTTTAAAAAGGTCACACTTATAATTAACAGTTGAATCAAATGGCTAAATATTGTACCAATCAGCTATAACATCACTCACTCTGCATTTGGCCTGACTCCACACCACTGACACGGTGTGTGCTGAGAGTCCCGGGCTCATTGCTGCAGCGTAGTGAGCTCCGTGTGTGTCATCTACATTCAGAACAGCGGTTCACAGTGAACAAAACTGCTTAGGCAAGGCGTTTGCTTAACAGGCTATTTTACAGTTCATAGTTCATAAAATGCTTCAGCAGCTCTACATAATGGTCTACAGCAAAGGTGTCACAGAAAGTGTTGGATAGAATGTTTGACAAAAATTGGGGTTTAGCTGAAGTTTTGCATGATATCGGTGCTTTCCCTTTAATTAACTTAATTAGACCTTTATAAGCGTCTGTATTACTGTGCTTGACTTGTACTTTTTTTTTCCTGTTGCAGGTTTGAAGTGCTGTGTTTCCTCATGCTGTGCTACAACTCTGCTGTGGTGTACATGCCCCTGTCGTCCTATCAGTCGGTCTGCAGAATGAGCTCACGGTGAGCAAAACACATGTGAAAACTTGACTTATATCACCAACAGTTTTTGTCCTTTCTGTACCCAATTAGTGACCACCATCTCCTCTTCCTCCTCCATTATTTGCTCCACTGAATCGAGCGTTAAATCACCTCCCCTACCCTGTAGCCACGCACTGACCTCGATACGGACTGTGCAGGATGATTTGATGTATTTAGATTCCATTAGGGCTCAGTTGAAAGGCCGGATGAAAAAGCATCACTGCTGGATGCCTTGTCTGAGTCTGTCCGTCTGGGAAACACCGAGATGCCCTGGAGCTAAGAGAAAGGATCAATGTGGAATTCACAGCATGAGGCTCTGTAGCGGAGCCGCCGCCCGGTGATTGTTCAGGATATGAAGACTTCCCTACTGTGCCCGAGCAGTCGGACGACGCCTGAGGCGAGCTCGGTCTAGACAGATGGCACACTGTGACTGTGAAGCTCTCGGCGCACAATGCTCAGTGTTTTGGGTTCAGCCTCGCTGTGTAGACTCCGAACACCCCGTCATCGAACCTTGCCTCACCTCTACAAGTGTACATTTAGCTCCTCTTGCTCACTGTTTTATGTGTTTGCTGTGTAGCTTACTCTGGAAGTGACTGGAGTTTATTCCTCGTCATGTGATCGGTGCTACCTCTCTTTGCTGTATGACTTCGCTCACCTTACTTACGTGACTGTGTGTGTGTGTGTTTCCTCCTCAGGCTGTGTGTATGTGGCTTCCCCCGACAGCAGCAGAAGCTCTGGAGGGAATCGTGCAACCGCGTGCTGCTGGACCCCGAGTTCATGGTGCAGATGCTGACTGCCGTTTATCACGCCATGTGAGTATTGTGTTTGGGACCACCTGATGGATAAAAGTCCAACATTCCCGCTCTGTTATCTCTGCTTATTAACTCTTGAGGGAGATATCTGTCTCTTTTAGCTGCTAAATGTTCCACTATGTTCACCAGCTGCCCGCTGAAGCCAAAATCAGAGTCAGTTTTATTTTATCAGGTTTAAATATAATGTTAGGTTGCAGCTGGACAGCTTAACAATGGGCTGAAGATGCTATCAATCTCTGTTCAGCCAAGCTGCAGATTCTAGTGATAATTCTCTGCAGGTTCATCACTTCAAGCGACCCCTTTCAAATTGTCACGTTCTTTTCACATTGTCATTTGATACATTGTTATCAAAAAGACAATCAATTATAACAGCTTTAAGTGCCTTTCCTCCACGTCCTTACACATCACCATTCTCTATTGGAAGATCATTGAATAGCACATCCTTAGGAGGAAGATCATCTTGTGTTTGCTGCTTTACCTTCACAGATATCTTCATGTACGTGATGAGGTCTAGGGCGGCCCCCTCTTAGACGCATCGGCCGTTTTGGTCAATTTAGTCAATTAGTCTTCTTTTTTTTTTTGAGTCTCTCTTCTAGTTTGCTGCCATCTACTGCAGAAAGTCTCCTAACAACGAATGCTAGCACTCTACCGAGGACAGAAGCTCCTCACTCTACAGACGGATTACATCAGCAGTGCGTTGTGTTTCATCCACTGCGAGGACTGTCGTTGCAAAGCTGATTACGTCTCCTCAATGATAGCTCGTCCTCGTAGATGGATCCCCTGATATGGCGGTGACTGTTGAGGATGTTGTAGCAAGGAGAGGGAGGCGGAGAACGAGTATGCATTCTGCCTCCCCCCCCCTATGAGGGTACACGGCAGCAATCTGGAGATCGGAGCGGTCAGTGCCGCTGTAAGACTAATAACCTTTTTAGTAATCTGGACCGTGGGTCACCTCAGTGCCAGCCTGAGCTCTCACGGTCACCCTTAGCCCGAGCAGGCGCACATGGAGGGCAGATAAACCCGAATCCACAGCTCCACACATGCAGAGGGACCGGGGCACTCGTCAAGGATACTCTGGGATTTAGGTTAATATGTCTGCTAATGCTACAGCGCAGTAATACCACACGGAGAGAGAGAGAGAGAGAGAGGGAGGGAGAGGGAAAGCCGATCAGGTTTGAAATGTATTCTGGACCCATTTTCCAGCCCTCACAACATCAGAGAGTCTCTTTCTTTATTTTTACCTGCCCATTTATTCCATCCTTTTCATCTCGAGTCTAAAGGGAAACTCGTGCATTTGTCCACATCAAAGAAAGTTCAGCCGGGCAGATCTTTTCTTTTTTACATTTTTAAATTTGTATTGTATTTATTTCTGCTTGCTGTTCCTTTAATCACTGTTGACTGATGACGAGGTTGTGACACCTTATGCAAAGCTAAAGACATCCCTCTAGCAGAGTTCCAGCATATAAACACAAAGATTTACCTATAAACACACTTGCGTTCATCCTTTATTCACACTATTTGCATATCATTAGAACTCATGGACTTAACACAAATTAGCTGTTTTGTAAGAAAAAAGGTTTAGCTCAGGTTAAACAGATATAATGTGACAGTGAGGTATAACCACTCTTGACTGGACCTCTTCTCCTTCCCTCCCTCACTGAAGTTGCAGACATGACTAAATAACTAATAATAGTTCACAGGGATGTGACTCAGACATCAAGGCATCTTGTCAGACGCTCCTGTTTCCTTAAATAAGCTCACAACATGCCATTGTTTAACGTAGGTGTGCACGCGTTTGTGTCTTGTGATGTGTAGATACAATGGAGAGTGGCAGATGGGACAGGAAGCTCTGGAGGACCTTCTGTACCGAGCCCAGCTGGAGCTCTACTCCCAGCCTCTCTTGGTAAGATGCCGATGGCTAAATTGGGCTCCGGGTTCCGACTTCAAATATCGTAACGCCATCCTGCTTTTTATCACGTTTAACTGCTTATCGAGCCCGCATCCGTGCATGTGTCCTCTCCAGCTGGCGAACGCCATGAAGAACTCGCTGCCGGACAGCGCTCCAGATGAGCCGCGGGGGCGCAAAGTGCTCCAGGTGGAGGTGACGCCCACCATCAGCCGCATCTCCATCTCAGCCATCACTACTGCCTCCATACGACGCCACCGCTGGAAGAGAGAGGGTAAGGCTGCAGCAGCAAGACCCGCCATCATGAACCAGGCCTCAGTGCAGGAGAGATCACAGTAGATCCATCACAATACTTTTTTTATGTTATGTTATTCAGTTATGATTTAAGCTGTGAACTTACAAACTTTTTTTTTTCCGATCAGTGAAATGCCACAAGAGGGAACTATTTGATGAGAGAACTACTTTTCTGCCGTTTGTCCTCAGCAGTGAGAAGAAACCCTGTTTCTGCGTAAACCACCATTAGCATCGTCCAAATGCTGTTTCATGTCGGTTATTGTATGTTGTTGTAGTCTCTGTGTTGCGGTGCTTCTGCCAATCACTGCTCCTTATGGCTCTTTATGTACTCGTCTTGTCTCTCAAGTGTGTTTGCTGATCTTTGTATCACCAGTAAACCGTTAAGGTTCGTAGTTTATGAGAAACCCACGACAAAATGGTGCCGGTAGATTCTACCGACTAGCGATAAATGGCGGCAGTTCATTTTTAAAATATCTTTGTGTTCCTTTTTCTTCTATATCTACAAGTGAATTTACAAACAGCTGTTAGGCCTGCTGTGCCCCATGATGAGGCCCACATCTGTTGAGGCTCGCTGCCACTAAAGAAACCATCTGTGTTGTTGACTCCCAGATTGTTTTGACTACTCAACCGCAGGAGAGTTGACCCTCATCGTCAATCCTCCTAGCCTCGCCCAGCACCACCACCAACACCACCACCGCCGTCACCACTACCCTCCCTGGGACCCCACAGCCAAAGAGGAGAGAGAAGGGCGGCCTCACAGCCACCGCAGCAGCAGCAGCATCATTCCCCCCATCACATTTGAGGGTAGGGGACAGGGGCTCAGAGCAGAGAGGGTCTCAGGAGGAGGTGCCCCTTCCATCTGTATCCTCCCAACCCTCCTCCTCCTCCCTCCCCATCCCCCTCCCTCTCCTCCTACACTCGAGGGCGTTAACTCTGCCGTTCCCATTTTGGCCGCCTCTTCACTTCGGCCGCCTCTTCACTTCCCCAGAGTATACTAACTCATCCAGTCCTTAAGACCCTCAGCCAACAACACCTTTTTAACCTCCAGACTACTACTAGTTTTCGTCTCATCCAAGAAAGGAGGAGTCGCCTATTCTGGGTTTGAAGGAAGTGCGGCTAGTGTGCATGGGCCTCTCATTATGTCATGTATCCTCTCTCCTTCCTCCTCATGCCTCCAACGTATTTTAGACTGCTGCCCTTGTCACTCACTGAGCATGTCACGTGCCCAGCCTGCAACTTGACCTTTTACTCCAGGCTTTCTCCGTTTTATAGATTTATTTTCTCTATAGTTTTAACCGCCATCTTGTTTCTGCTGTGCTCCTCGCGGTGTTGTGACAGCACCACAATTTTTTGGGGTCACTCAGGCCAGCAGTAACCATCTGCTGCCGCCATTCTGCAGGAAGAGGCCTTCCATTTTGCTTTTTCAGTCCAGCAGCTTTCTTTTTATTATTGTATGCAAATGTTGTGTTATGCACCGCTCCTTTTCCTTCCGCTCAGTGAGTGGGAACGAGCCCTTCATCATGCATGTGCACGCTACAGCAAGCTTCTGAAAATGTCAGCGACAACAGGAAAACCCCGAACACTAACCAAGTGAGCAGAGTATGGTCACGGTTTACAAATCCAATACTTCGAACTGCAAAGCCTACTAGTCATACGGCCCATTTTGTCTCGTTTAGTGTGTGTCCGTATTCATGTGTGGTCGCTCCATGTTTTTTATATTTTGAAACGTCATCGAGATCCTTTTTTTGTCATGACTGAAGATCGGCTCATTTCCTGGTTTTGCGGTCAGCTCCCATCGTCATGGTCTTGAATGGAACTCTGTGCAGCTGGTGAAATAATCCCTAAAGTAGTTTCATTACATAGAAATCTGCAACCCAGTTAAGAGGGAGCTGTGACTGTTTTAAATATGATCGATCACTGTCTGTGTTTAACTACTGGACATTCTGTTACAGAAAGAATTACTGATCACATGTCCTTAAGTTTGAGGCTGCATTGCAGTGATATTGAAAGTGACCATACTGATGACTTTGCATATTTAATCCTGTTTGCTACAACAATTTTTCCACAGTATACGATACATTTTGTAGCCATGACCAGAAACCAACAGCAAGCATATACTGTAAGTTAGTCGCTCAAATACGCAAATTGTAGTCAAAATGCTAAAACGTGCAAAAACACAGTTCTGGTTCTTTAACTGCAGAGCTTTGAAGAACTTTGAGCTCTTCAGGTTGACTTGTAATGACTTGCAGACCGGCCCGTTTAGTCTTGTGGACTGTCAGCTCTCACTGGACGAGGCGTACGGACTCGCCACAGTGCTCTCCACAGATTGGCCGGCCGACCGTCTGACCGCCGGGCCGGTGCTGCAGGAGGGCATGCGTCTTCTCCTCATGTTATGTGCATGTCATTCTGGACCTTTTTTCTTCTCGGTTTCTCCATTTCTTTGCCGGCGCTGCCTGCGATTCCTTGTCGTCCACCTTTTTGCTTGTCCCAACGATGCATGACGGAGACAGACGGCCGGTCCTCTGTCTCTCCTGTCTAACAGGCTTCAGCCTGCATACTGTGTGTCAATAACATGCTTTTTTCTAACTCAATTTATCATCTCTTTTTTTTCCCCTTTCAGCCTTCCAACAATGATGGATTGTTAAATGTTTATCCGTTTAGATGTCTTCATGTCAATGTTGTGCTTGTTCTATCACATTATCAGGAAGTAATGGAATCAAATATATATTGAATGCGACACCTTTTGCTAGACGAGCTCTGCTCTCTTGCCCGGCAGGTTATTGAACTCTCACTTTTCCTAAACAAACAACGAGTCACACGTTAAACGTTCTGTTTATGGTCAGATTTGACTTACATATGTCGACATAACCTTGGTTGTTGTCTTCCTCGCTCACTTTTCCTTTTTGTCTATCATGCTTTCTTTCTGTCTCTGTCCGTTCCTGTTCAGATGCTGACGGGATGAGCGGCGGGGAAGACTCCTTCAACGTCAACGACCCAGACGAGGGTTTCTCCTCCGGGGCGTCCAACAGCAGCCAGCCCGGCGGCACCAAGGTGGGCGGCAGCATGGGGCCGAGGGGCGGCAGCCTGAACAACAACAGCAGCAGCAGCATCAAGAGAGCCATCGCCGCCCGGCTGTCTCGAGAGAAGGACCGGGAGAGGGAGGCGGAAAAACAGGCAGATTCGTCCGCGGATCACCAGGCCGCCGTGAGGAGGCGCCACCAGAAGCAGCCGTCGCCTCCAGCCAGCATCAACTTGGAGGCCATCCACCTGAGCCCCATAAAGAAGCGCCTGAGCTTCCCTGTGGCGCCCACACTGGTGCGGACTGGCAGCACCTCCTCCAGCAAGTCCTTTGACTGCATGAATTTCAACCTGAACGGAGCCGATGACGAGCACGAGGAGGAGAAGGAGGAGGCGGAGGCGGCACGGGAGGACAAGGAAGGAGGACTCCCAGCAGGCGGCTCCCACCACCACTCCACCGTCAGCCTGCAGGAGGAGCACCTCATCAGGTCGGAGGACGCCCAGGACATCCTGTCTCCTGGAGCTCCGCTCACCAAGCAGTCCCGCTCCCCCAGTTTCAACATGCAGATCATATCACAGGTCTAACGCGCAGGGCATGACACACACACACACACAAAATACCTGTTCATAACACTCACACTTTTCACAATCCTATTATGACAGTTTCCGTCTACCTTGTGCGTGCGTGCGTGCGTGCGTGCTTGCTCGCTTGTGCTCAAGAGTTGTCTCCACCCTTTCAACACCTATTAAATTGTGACCTGCAGTCGTTGCTGGTGGGTTTGAGAGAGAGAGAGAGAGTGAGAGAGAGTGAGAGAGAGAGAGAGAGAGAGAGAGAGAGAGAGAGAGAGAGTGAGAGAGAGAGAGAGAGAGAGAGAGAGAGAGATGACATTTCAGAGTTTTTGAGTTCCTGACTGAATCAGTCAGAAATGAATCAGCAATAACGCTTAACCGTCGCTCATGTTTGAGAAGAGTGAGGATTATTGATTATTGCTCTTTCTCTTCAGTCCTTCCCCTTTCATTCCCGGGCTCACGTGCAATCGATCTCGCTGATTACCTTCCTTGTTAATTGTTGTTGTTTTTTTTAATTCGGCATAAATGGTTTTGATGAATAAAACTCCTTTCAATGTTTTTTTTTTTTTTTTTTTTTTATATCACAATCCAAAGAAATTAACATTTGTTTTCCTGCACTTGTTTGGCAGAAATCAGTCGGACCAAAGTGATTCTCTAGTTTTCAGCCCATGACTCTGATTTGATCTGTAAAATCTGACTTTTAAGATTGTTTGTAAAACCAAACTGTTGACGGTTAAGGTTTGTCCGACCCAGAGCTTTCAGCTGGACAAACCTGAAGAAGTCATCACTATTTAGCTACAAGAGGAACGAGTTCGTCTTGTGACTTGATTTACTATCTGAAGGTGAATCTTTGTGGAAGAACTGGATTAAAACGTTGTAGATGCTGCAGGTTTGGGTCTGAAGCTAAAAGGCAATGACTGTATTTTATATTGGATTGTTATTGTGGTTCAAACCATTCAATGGGCCCTTCCATCTGAAAGCACTTGTGGGTGTGTTTGGCTCTGGGTGACGTACTGCCCTCCGCAGGCGTGCACGAGTCACTGCGCATCGTCTCACGTCCTGTGCTCTGATTGGACGCTCATGAAACATTTTGTTCTACCTCATCGTGTGTTCACCCTGCCACTCGGACACTTGTCTCCCAATCAGACGCAGGATTTAAAGACTCCCGTTAGGTTTGAAACTGGAGCGCTTGAACAGTTTTGGGGGGGGGGGGGGGGTTAAATAGTGAGGACCAAACCGGTTTCACACTAGAACTGTGATGACGCTGTCAAACCCGTTCATGTGAGGAGTCGTGGCTGAATTATCTCTGCCTCGCATTTCAGTTCAATCACAGCAAACAAGAACACGACTGTCAATTTTCAAACACCCACATCGGGATAAACCTGATCATTTGAATTCCCTAGAAATGTCCGGCTTATATATATATATATATATATTTTTTTTTTTAATGTAATGAATTTTTGAAGTGCAATTTTTTTTCCTTTTAATGCTCATATGCATGGAGTTTGAATCTCTGCTGTTAAATGCCTGCATCTGCTAACAGTGCTAGCTTAGCCTTCTGTAGTGCTCCCTGCCCAGGCCCAGTGAAGTGAACACGGCGTGCTTGTCTGCATGTTTTAGTGCCCTGCAAAGCACAGCTGTTACAGATGTGTGAAACAGCCAGCGAGCCAAACCCGAGTCTCATCCTCGTCTTTTGCCAGATGTGCCAATACACATCCTCTAAGGACATTGTGTTTTGCTTGGGTGTCTTAAGTTGAAATGCCTATTTTCTTTCTGTTTACTGCTCTTATTTCAGAGTTGGGGGACAAAACAAGGGATGTTTGGACGTACGGCTCAACGTGCCCTTAGATGCAGCTTCTTTTTTGCCATGAATTCGTTAATCACAGGTGTGCGTGAGTGAGTGTGTGTGACACACGCACTCACAGTTTGCTGTTCACACGTAGAAGCAGTATATTATGCGTCCGTGTACTGTAGATGTCCGTCGTCGTATTGCATTTCCCGTGTCTTGCTCACGTGCTTGTTTTAACAATGAGAATGAATGATTGATGTATATATAAAATCCCACACAATCACGCTCCTGCTGTGCCGGAAACCTTCACGGCTGCTGCTCCTGGTCCTGAGTGAGTCCTGTGTGCGCTTTAGCCTTAAACATTTCAGACCTAAAAGGCCTCGGCTCTTTGGACTCGCATGCTCCTCCTCCTCCTGCTGGACTGCACTGTGGAGGGAGAAGAGAGGAGTGCAGCTCCAGTTCACACTCGCCTGGTCCGTCTGCTGTGTCGCTCACAACGAGCCGTGTTTTCCCATTTGCTGTATTTTTGCCGTGAGTTGAGTGTCAACTCTTTTGCTGTTTTTGGTGACGTGTTCATGTCATTGATACGAGTGCCCCTGACCGAGGTTACCAGCAGTCATGTTGGTACTGTATGTGGACTTAGAGTAACGGATAGACGATTACTCCTCAGTGTCTGGTGTTATATCATGTGATCAGGGCGGGAAGTGAACACCAGCCAGTGAATGTTGATGAAAAACTTGACTGTGGCTGGAAATATGTATCTGCTATTCATTTTAGTAGACTAACAGGCCCAGAACTCCACATAAGGTCCACTCACATTTCAAAAAAAGTCTCAATTAGGGAGTAAAAGGTTCAGCCTGTCGCTGGTGGACATTTCCTGCCCTGCATGTGATAAGTGTGGGCTTTGTTTTATGCACTTTAATCCACCCACCTCTCTCCTCAAGATAGTTATTGAAATTATATATATATATATATATTGAAATTATATATATATATATATATATATATATATATATATGCGCAAACGTGTATACAATCAATGCAGGGTTTTTAGTCTCTTTAAAGTAGTACTTCTATGTGATGTCACATCCAACACAATGATATTTTTGTTAAAGTCTAAGGGTACACACAGCTATTTATTTTTTTTCTTTTCAAAACCAAAAACAACAAATGTTACGGGGGTCCGGAAGGTCTCAGGTGTTTATCAAAAAGCCACATTTTTTTAAAATGGCAGCACCAAATTTTCTGTTCTTAAAGTCAGAATTGATTCTATGCAACATGTTTTTCCCCCTTTTTATTTTTTAAATTTTCTTTGGTGTTACCAGCTCTTATTGATCCGCGTCGGGTGGGACGGGGCAGATGCATTTAAGCTGATTTTGTTTTTTAAAGTGCAAGTCCTCAACAGCGGCTCTGTTTCGACACCCTGTTGTGATGCTGCAGAGCTCCAGGACCGCTCATGTGGACCATCCCTCTGTCATTCGACTGCCCTCACAAAGAGACACACACCGGGACTGTTGGTGCATGTCGAGCCCTCCTGTCAGTCCGCTTCTCTGTGGCTCAACGACGTTAGTTGGTGTATGAAACATAAACAGATTATCAACGATGAATCTAATCGAGTCGCTTTTGAGGTGAAGCCGCCGGACGATGTGATGACACTGTACTATTGATGTTGTATAAATGGAGAGAGAGACTTATTTTAAATCTTGTAAATAGAAAATGTACAAAGGTGAAAGCAAGATAAATATAAAAACTGCAGATCAGTCTGAGATGTAGAGAGAAATTAATCTGTATATTGTTGAATAAATATTGTGCCGTAAGGGATACGAGTGTCTGTCTGCTTCTTATATAAAAGTGGTTTTATATAATAATATCCACAGCACACTTTAGTTTTACTACTACTGATACATTTTGGATACGTCACAGAGTAAATGTTTTACTAGGTGAATTTTAAAGGGTTGAGACTAATATTTAGCCTTTGAATTTTATTGTACAATTTGATATATCCTGAAAAAATAGTTCCTATAGCAGCTGACGATGCAAGTTGAAATATAATGTCTTTTTTTTTTTCTATTTTTATCTTATAATTTATAACCAATAGCCATCCCATTCATAGCCAGTTAGCTAGAATAAAAAATTGAGCCAAGAATTCAACATATCGTCTTGTTCCAGCTTCTCAAATATGATTTGCTTCTTTGTCTACTGAAATATTAAACTGACATTTCACAGACCAAACAATTAATCGGTAGAATAACCCACATATTAATTATTAATGAAAATATTAGTTAGTTACAACCCGTGTTATATTATTGATATATCTGATAATAGAATAAGTGAGAACAAGAAGCATGGAATTCATATTTGATGTAAAATATTTTTTACTTAAGCTTATGTAAATTGAGCTTATATTTTGGTCAAACATTTATTTTGTTGAATTTTACCTTAAATATATTTATTAATTATCTTATTTCAATGTGTTGCTCTTTGCCACACTAACATGTATTGCAGTAATAATATACAATCAGCTGGTCACTAGCGTGTGTTTGGATCTGTGATCAGTGGTGGTAAATCAGAACAACAGTCGATATGCACGTAAATCAGTTCAAACACTTCCTAATAACAAAAATAATTCAGTGATTGATTCCTTTATCCAAAATTTACTTCAACTGAGGTTTACTTTGTGTTTGGTATTCAAAAAAAGTCACTTGTTTTAATAATTTCCATGATTACAGAGGCTGAGATTTTAATTTCCTTCTCATTGTTGTGCTTTAGCCACACATTGATTTGAGCTCAAACATCTCATGAACTAACTGCGGCTCACTTCTTGCTGACCTCTGACCCCACAGCATGGTGGGCTGGGCCCTGACCCCTTCTACTGGTTGTTACATATTCTCCAGCTTTTACAGCAAGGACCTAACTTAATAGAGTCAAACATTAAAATTAACACCGACAGAATTATGTTGCTCTACGGTAACATAGTTTTACCTAAAACCAGTATAAGATATTCATTTATTGTAGAGTTATATTGAAGAGGACACTAATGTTTCTGTTGTTTTTATTTAACTTTGAAAGCCACTTTATGAACTCCACATGAATAAAAGCAAATTAGCTTAATTATTATGTATTTACTGCTAAACTAACACCAATGTGCTAACATGCTTTAACCATGTTCTCCTTGTTAGCTTAGTGTGTTAGCATGCTGACATTAGCTAATTAGCACTAAACTCAACCAAGATTGCATCTATTAAATGAACAGTGTTGCGAGGTTGCTTTGTTAACTACTGTTTCCAAGTTCGGGAATCAACTTTTAATTTCATCTTCACAATAGGTTCTTAAATGTTTCCAACAACAACTCTTACTGGTTATTACTGATAAGCTAAAATCAGGTAGTTGTCATAACTGCTAACTTAATTTAGCCTAATAACAAAACAGATAAACACTCTTCACTCATTGTACTGACTGAACAGTACTGTGGACCAGACTCGAGCACCGTTTCTATTAAACTCACAAACTGTGATATATTTAATGAATGACAACCATAAACACAAGTAATACAACAGCTACCAAGAGCCAATCAAAACTCCTTTGAGTAACAAGATCCCTAAATAGTTGAATGCTCTGGAGATGTCACCTGGCAACAAGGGCTGTAACACATGAAAGACCAGAGCAGACTTCATGGTTCATCCAAGTGAACGGAGGATCTGAAGGCAATAAACAGGGTAATGTAAACTATGATACATTTTGTATTTTGGTTGTTGTTTTTATTAATGTTTGAAAGTGAGTGACCTTCCTTTCCTTCCACCCGGGGTCTGAAAACACTGACTGAAATGCATAAAGGTATGTGTGTGAAAAGCTCAGTTTTTTAAAATATATATGACAATCATTTGGTGGTGATGTGAGGCCTGACTGGACGGCTTATCTTGATGGGAGGAGGTTAATGTTGTGTTGAGAGGGTGGAGCCATTTAACAGGGCAACATTTTGAGATCTCAAAGGATTTAGTGCCTCTGCAGGATCTGATGACTGAATCAAAGGGTTAGTGTGGACTTTAAATATTTGGTATTACAGGTAAAGGTCGTTAAAGTTGAGAGTTTCCTGCCATTCCAGGGGCCTCGGTAGAGGAAATTGAGGTAATGCAGAACAGGTCACATGTCAGCAAGATAAAGAAATATATGAGAGAATACTGAAGTTCCAGGCTCTGCAGGTTTCACAGATTAAAAGTCCATAACTGACTAGATGCACTTGTCCCTTCAGACTTCCTCCACATGAAGCACTTCTTCCAAGCAGGTGGTTTTAACTGGACATCGTTTATTCTTACTTCCTCAGAAATGCTGCCTAAATTAGAGAATAAGGTTCACCCGCAGCAAACGGTCGAGGGGCTGCGGCAGAACAGACATGAACTTAATCATGTGGTTACTTGTTTCCAGAAGGTGAGTGTTTTCCTGTCTCATTAATGTACTTCAAACAGTGTGACACGTGAATACTAGTAAAAGTCCTGCATTTAGAATTTAATTTAAAGTATAGAAGTTTAGTTTTTTTACCATACTATATACTGTGTTCTACTTATTATAGAGAATGTCCCGTGTCAGTATTATGTTATCTTATTATTGGATCATCATTATTTATGCATTCATATGTAGGCTCAGCAGAAGTCACTATTGCAGTTAAATAAATGAGTTATAAATGTACAATATAACCTGTTAAAATGTAAAGTATACCTCAAAAGTCCACTTAATTACAGTACTTGAGTAAACGTACTTGGCTACATTCCACAACTGGATACTTTTGTCAGTTTGTGAAAAACCTGAACTATAATAAAACAAATAGGTTTTATTTAACGTGATTAATCATTTACAAAACACACAATGCATCCCTTAATCAGGCGTGTATTTAATCCACTCTCGGTAATACAGTTCAATCTGCCTCTATCGATCCAGAACTGGCGCTCCTGCTACTCGCCGTCCCATGAGTGGACGGTTTAGTCGGGTTTCAGCAGTGCGCTCCACTCTGACATCACTGATGCAGTGCTGAGTAAGCCAGCACTGACTGCAGAGGCTCCTCTCACTCTCTCTCTCTCCTGTCATGCTGGGAGCTCTCATCCTGAACCACATCTGTACACTGTAGCCCCACCCACCCTCCCATGCTGCATTCGGGATGGAGGAAGATGTGGTTAAGTCACGGCTGTTTCATTCTCTGGCAATCAGCGCAGTCAGACCCTCTAAGCATCTTTCTGCCTCCCCTTCTTTCCAGCGATGCGCCATCACGTCCTGGACCAGGGAAAACCTCCACAAGAGGGAATGCTGCTTCTTTGAAAAAGGTGTCAGGTAGGATGAGCTGCTCTGTGCTGTGTTGGTGACGAACGTCTCTGAACTGACTTTGTAGATTGCTGCTGCACGGTAACACAGAGACACTGTGGCATCTGCCCTCTGTTGAGTTTATGTGTCCCGCGAGGCATCGCCCTCGATCGCCGCGAGGGCAGTTGTGTCAATGTTGTGTTCATTAAATTAAGTTTGTTTGTTTCCAGTAATTGTCACTTTCCTCAAACTGTCTGTCTGCATGAAAATGTTACAACCTTTAGCTTTTGTTTCTCCACCAGAGAGGATGTGTGTAGGTGTGGCTACTTAAAGACTGATCATGTGGACGAAGCCATCAAGCCGGAGGATTTCACAGGCGAGAATTGGGACAAACACAAACATGTCCGCGAAGTGCCCACAGATGCTTTTGGAGACATCAGCTTTGGTGATTTGGGACAGAAGACTGGCAAGGTGAAACCATCCTTTCTTTCTACTGTAATGACATTACATGTCATTGCATGCCTGTGTGTTTTCACCCTCGCCTTTGCATGTGTCTGTCATTCTCAGTATGCACGAGTGTCCACAGACACAAGCCCAGAAATCCTGTACGAGTTATTGACCGAACAGTGGAAACTTTCCCCTCCCAACCTGCTGATCTCAGTGACCGGAGGAGCCAAGAACTTCTTTCTGAAGGCCCGACTCAAGAACATATTCAACAGAGGTCTTATCAAAGTGGCCCAGACGACAGGTGAGCCTCAGATCTCAAGGTGTGCCAATGATTAGCCAGAGAGCCTTTTGAAAGCATGTGTTTAACAAGTACATGCGTGTTTATGGTGAGCCGGTGACTGCATGTGATAAAATATACCGTGTACGCCTCAAAGGGTCCAATCCTCCTGCCCGACCTAATAAAAACAGTGCACTAAATATGAACGTATTCTGTTTTTCTTCTTTAAAATAAAAGGACATGTTAATGCTACAGCATACAATGATATTTTAAACAATAGAGTGCTTTCATTTTTGTGCCACGGATTTTCAGTTTTAATATAACAATGCTACCTTGCAAACAACAAGGTTCATAAACCATTTGATCTGAGTTTAGTTTGGAAGAAGTTGAATAGGCCTGCACTGAGCCCTGACTTTAACCCACAGTTGAAATGAATCAAAACACTGACTTATCGCCCAATCAGTGGCCGATCTCCCTAGTGCTCTTGTGGCTCAATGGGAGCAGATCCATGTTGCTCATGTAGCTGCCAAAATATTGTGAAAAGACTTCCCTAAAAAGTTAGGGCTGTATAGCTGCATATTAAAGGAATATTTTGCTATTTTGGGAAACACGCTTATTCGCCTTCCTGCTGAGAGTTAGATAAGATGATTGATACAACCCTCATATTTGTTATGAGGCTTCAGCCAGTTAGCTTAGCGTAGCATAAAGACTGGAAGCAGGAGGAAACTGTAAGCCTGGCTCTCTCAGAAGATAATAAAAACATGTCATTTGTGTGATCCGTACAAAAATGAAAGTGTAAAACAGACAAGTGGAGGTTGTGAACAGTGAACAACCAGCAGATTAAAAAAAAAACAAAGTGTAAATATTCCTTTAATGGCCATGCTTTCATTTATCAGTTATGTGTGTATATCCACATATTTTGCTCATGTAATATTTGCACATACCGTACATATACTTTATGGACATACATGTATGAAAATGGGACCTATGTTGTGCACAGGAGCATGGATCCTCACTGGTGGTACGCACATCGGTGTGATGAGGCATGTAGGGCAGGCCGTGAGGGACCACGCCCTGAGCAACTCCATGCAGGGCCAGATTGTGGCTATCGGAGTTGCGACGTGGGGAATAATTCACAACAGGAACACTTTGGTGCATTCAGAGGTACGATAAACACATTCACACGTGTTACTCGTCTCTTTCTTCTGGTGAGATTCATCACCTGCAGAGCATAAGTCTTTTTTTTCCTACCTTCATCTCCTCCTCCTCCTCCTCCTCTTGTCTGCAGGGTTGCTTCCCAGCCCATTATGAGACGGACATCAAGGGCCAGGGCCGACTCTCTTGCCTTGATAACAACCACACCCACTTCCTGCTGGTGGATGATGGGACCCAAGGACACTATGGAGTGGAGATTGAACTGCGTAGCCGTCTGGAGAAATGCATCTCCGGAAAGCGTCTTGGAAACAAAGGTCAATGTCACAGATAACATCTCAAATCTGATTCTTTTTTATCTGATCTGCTTTTAATCTTGATTTTTTTAAACTGTTTTACCTCCAGAGAGTGGCGTGACAATCCCTGTGGTGTGTGTGGTTTTGGATGGAGGACCGGGCACTCTAAATGTGAGTCAGCAGTTTCCTGTCTCTCGCTGTCTCTTGTCTTTGTCTTTGTCTTTGTCTGACTGTCTTGTGTGTCTCCTCTCAGACCATTTATAATGCCATGCTGAACGGTACACCGTGTGTGATCTTGGAGGGCTCCGGGAGAATAGCAGATGTGATCGCCCAGGTGGCAGGACTGCCATTGGCCCGGGTCACCATCGCCCTCATCCACCAGTTAATGAAAAAGTTCTTTGGCCAAGAGTATGAAAACTTCCCCCACCTCAAGATCATAGAATGGACCAAGAAGGTACGTGAACATACTGACGACCTCAACAATTACAGACCAATTTGCAAGCTACTGTTCCTTTCTTAGTACAGCTTACTAAGTTAACGTTACTGTGAGGAACTTCTAACTGGTTACCGTTACTGTAGAGCTGCATTTGATGCTGTCGACCAAAACATCTTCCTTAATCGATATGACACAGCTCTGGTCCTGTTCCAATGTTATCTTTATTTACTTTTAGGTCCTCTACTGTTTTCTCCTCCCTCTATCGATTAAGGACCTTAACAAATTCAAGGAGACATTATCGCATCACCACTGTCTTAGCCTCCATTCTGATGCTTCTCTTGATGCCTTATGATCCTGATCGGAGCCTAAGATCCCCTGGCGCGGGTCTCCTGCCTGGCCTAAGTCCAGGTTTGATGTGAAACCCTACTCGTTGTGTCTCCTATCTGTGCCAGATTCAGGACATCATCAGGATGTCTCACTGGCTGACAATATTCAGAATAAGCGAGGACGATCACGGAGATGTGGATGTGGCTATACTTCAAGCGCTGCTCAAAGGTAGGGGTTTGTTCTTCACGCAGATGCTCAGTGCCAGACTAGACTGACTATAGGCGTACACCAACACAGCTATGAGTGTAAAGGCGAAAAGGCTTGGTGCCAAAGCAGCTCTTAGCAAGTATAATGTTGCTTCTCAGAAGTCTGATCGAATGGACTGTGGTATCAAATGTGCAGCTCAAGACTGAAAACCAACACAGATATTCTTACAGATATTTTCTCATAGAACGATTGCTTTTCTATACAAGGAGACACTGAAAGCCACATTTAATCTATTCATAAACAATATAAATAGATTCCTCCTAATACTGGTCTTGAGATAGACATCGATGAAACAAATTTACAGCAAGCTTAATTCATATTTTTGTATATTGAGCTATAAGTTCACTAAAAGTGACTCTACATTCACTTGGAGTTTTGATTGTGATGAGTCATTATTCCAGCTAAACTGCTTTGCCTGTAGTTTCCATCTTTGAGCTCTATTAACAATGGAGGAATTCAAATGCATTTCCCGTCAGTCGTCCTGCTCACTCAGCGAGGACATCCGCTGTCTGTTTTTGGTCTGTGGCCAAGTTCGAAGTAGAATCTTATTTTGTGAGGATTTTGCTGCTAATTATAAGATAATTGCTGCTTGACCGTGCAGTGTGACCCCAGGTTATGTTATGTCATGTCACAGAATAAGTTAATTTATTGATTTGTTGATTGAGATTAAAGTGAATCATCAGCAAGGCAATCATCAAGCAAAGACTGCAAACTAGTTCCAGCTTTTCAAATGTGATGATTTGCTGCTTTACTCCATTTATATGCCCACATTGCTGTAATTGAATAATTTAAATTGAAAACAGAATTCAGCGTCACATAAATCTTGTCACTATACATTCGCCACTCAGCTTCGAGGACCAGCGAGACACTGGGAATCGAGAGCTGGAAGAGGCAGCTGGAGCTGGCTATTGCCTGGAACCGGGTGGACATTGCTGAGACGGAGATCTTCACTGAGGAGAGCCAGTGGAAGGTTTGCCTACTTTACAACATGCTGTAACACCAACACCAGCAGCAATCTTTGTAAGACTGTCAGGATTGACAAATAAAGGCCACTGCAACCACTCTTGTCTTCATTAAGATAAGAAAGTGTAATGGACTGACTGGGAAAACATGGGAAGTGGTAATAGTCTCGCAGTCATTGGATAAAAAAGCTAAAAGGTTTGAGTGGTGAACATTTCTACATGGAGATTTCAACCAATAGCAGCATGAAGCCAATTTCTTGCATCATAAACCTTTTAGGCAGTGGTCTGTTGTATTATTAAAATCACATGAATAGTATCATAAAATACTGTCTTTCTCTCCACACTGCTATTACAGTCAATTGTCTAATTTTGTTGTGTTTTCCTGACATGTTCACATCCAGTCCAGTGACCTCCACTGGGCTATGTTCTCAGCCCTGGTTGGCAACAAGCCTCAGTTTGTTAGTCTGCTGCTGGAGAACGGTGTGAGCCTGAGGGATTTCCTGCAGGACGAGGAAACTCTTTGTGAGCTCTACAAACAGCTGCCCAGCGGCATCTTTCTCCGCAAGCTGGCCAAGCGGGTCCACAGCTCTTGCCGCAGGAGGAGGAAGGCGCTCCGCATCAGGCCTCGAGCTCGCTTGGGGCAAGGTGAACCGATCTCGATGACTCATGTGTCTGATGAGGTGCGCCACTTGCTGGGCAGTTTCACCCACGCCCTCTACCCTCCCTCCAACATGTCATACCACTTCGACGTGTCTACAGAGGTCACATCTGTATCAGTGAGTTTGTTTATCCATCATCAAACATTGAATGAATGTAGTTTGACAAGCAAAACTAAGTGATTCACACGTACCTTGTAATCAATTCAGGGTTGTCTTATTTTAGAAGCTGAGCTGTTTTATTTCACTGGGAGGATTTTCATTCTATTTTTATTTTTACATATTTCATAATTCAATATTGTGTACAGGACGTTTAGATCCTCACATTGGGAAATACAACTTAGAGGAGGTATAATTGAACACTTAGCTAAAATAATGAAGTCTGAACAATCCAAATTGAAGTCTGTGCATGCCTTAGGAGGATTTGAGGACTTATGATAAACCATCCATAAACCGTTAATTTAATGCAACATATTACTTCCCTTTTAATCTAGCTGTCTAAAAGTCCGACGGGTTCCCAATCGCTACTCAGGGAGGACGATGCTGATGCACAGAGGGACCCAGGCAGAGACCTTTTCCTGTGGGCTGTCATCCAGAACAATAAGGAGCTGGCTGAAATTGCCTGGGAGCTGGTGATCAAAACACTTACCCTTATACATGCAGACAAAGTTTGAAAATAGTCAGTTGTGTGTGTGGGGGGGTTTGTTTGTGTGTGTGTATGGTGTTGCATCTCTCTGTATCTGTACCTGCACAGTGTAGAGACTGTATGTCCGCTGCTCTGGCCGCCAGTAAGATCCTGAAGACAATGGCAGAGGAAGGAAGTGACGGAGACGAGGCAGAGGCCATGCGAGAGCTCGCCAATCACTATGAGAAACATGCCATTGGTATGATACTACAGACACAGCTGACACAAGTGATGTTACGAGGTTTAGCGTTTCACCTCATTGCGTTTGTTTCACAGGTGTGTTCAGCGAGTGCCACAACAGCGATGAAGAGCGGGCTCGGAAGTTGTTGGTTCGTGTGTCTCCGTTTTGGGGAAGGACGACGTGCCTGAGGCTGGCACTGGAGGCTGACGACAAAAGCTTTGTGGCTCAGTCAGGTGTTCAGGTTGAGCAAACTTTCAATTTTTTTTTAACAATTTAAAAACTCAGGTTTTTTTTTTGAAATTTTGAGATGCAGATTCATAAAATAATCGAATAATCTAATGTCTGTCTTGAAGGCTCTTCTGACACAGATCTGGTGTGGTGAGCTTTCAGTGGACAACTCAGTGTGGAGAGTGCTGATCTGCATGGTCTTCTTCCCACTTATCTACACTGGCTTTCTGGTTTTCAGGTGAGTCAGTGACATGTGTGAAACTGTAAGAGCAGCCATCTTATCAAAGTCAGTCCGGCCAGTGATTGTTCTGCATGGCCACGCAACAGCCAACACATCTAAAGCCACATAATGTTGCCATCTTAACCTAAGATAATGTGCTGCTGCGAATGGTTTGTTAATGAGCTATAATTCTCCCTAGACGTGATGAAGTCCTTCATAGAGAAGCTGAGAAGAAGGAGGAGATCAAGACAGTGGAGAAAGTAACAGGAAGTACACTTCGAACCAATTCTCGTGGCCTGTAAGTAGGCAGTCGCCTTTTAATACACTCAATCATTTAACACTCATTTAATACACAGCAAATGTTGCTCTACTCTAGAAAAATAACCTGGATTCTTTCTATCTGCGTGACGGTCTCCTGACTGTACGAGAGCTTATACACATCTTAATATTTTACATTTTTGTTATTCTAAAAGTAGTGATTTTGCATGTCAGTTGTTAAAGAGTGTCCTAAATGTCTGTGACCCCTCAGTGGCGTGAAGCGCCTGAAGCCTCTGAGCAGCTGGTACCGGCTGGTCCATCTGTACAGCTCTCCGCAGGTCAAGTTTTACTGGAATATCGTGTCCTACTTTGCCTTCCTCTTCCTGTTTGCGGTGGTGCTGATGATTGACTTCCAGGCTACGCCCTCTGCTGGGGAGCTGCTGCTTTACATCTGGCTGCTCTCTCTGGTGTGCGAGGAGGTCCGACAGGTGAGAGAGAGAGAGAGAGCAGCCTGGGACACAAGCTGTTGCTGCCTCCAGAGCATGCCCACATATTTATAACACTACCTCACTTAACTGACAAATTCAATGTGTCTTTTCTGCCTCAGCTGTTTTATGATCCTGATGGCTTCGGGTTTCATAAGAAAGCCAGGATGTACATCAACGAACTGTGGAACATTTTAGATGTCCTGTCCATCCTTCTCTGTATTATTGGCCTCGCATTTAGGTACGTTTCCTTCCTCCCAGACAATCCATCTAAGCCGTGGAAGTGCTCTCCACCCTCCTGGTAATCAATACATCACCAAGTGTTTCTATTTCAGGCTGACAACTGAGCTGTTCTATGCTGGTAAAATCCTGCTCTGCATCGACTTTGTGGTCTTCTGCCTCCGTTTCATGGCCATCTTCACTATCAGTAGAACCCTGGGGCCCAAAATCATCATCGTCAGGAGGATGGTGAGAGGCTTACATACAAATGTGATGAATGCCGACCTGATGTAATGTGGGAGCAACTGCAGAGAAATGCCACGCTCCAAAACACCTTTTATCTAATACGAAGAGAGGCTTCTGCCTCACTGGGCCTCCGTCTAGTGTCTGCAGATGATTATATGCTAAATAAAAGGTGTTTTTGAGCAAAGTGTTGCAGCTGGTCTGTTTGTTCCCAAACAGTCAGTCATTATTGTTTGTGCAGAGATTACATGTGGAGCGCAACAGGGCAACCTTTTAAATACTGAAACTTGTCACTGTTAAATATTGAATCTGTAATACGTGTGATGCTTTAGGCAGCGTGCAGTAAAAGTCACCCACCAGAAAAGGAAGTCTCCACCATACATACATGACATGTCACAGGTTTCTTCTGTGACCGATGTGTGTTTGTCCCTCAGATGATGGATATGTTCTTCTTCATGTTCCTGCTGAGTATCTGGGTGGTGGCGTACGGAGTGGCCAAACAAGGCATCCTCATCCACAATGACAATCGGCTGGACTGGATTGTCCGCGGGGCAGTTTATGAGCCGTACCTCACCATATTTGGGAATTTTCCCACAAATGTTGATTGTGAGTGTAGTCGAAACGCTGCAGTTATGTCAAGTGAAAAACAATTACGAGGCTCAGACCGGCTTTGTTTTCTTTGCCCTCTGCAGATGCTGCATTTGACTTAGACTCCTGCAGCATGAACGGCACCGATCCTCTGAAGCCCAAGTGTCCTGTGCTGAATGAAAACCAAACGCCAGCCTTCCCCGAGTGGCTCACCATCACCATGCTATGTGTTTACCTGCTCTTTGCCAACATACTGCTGCTCAACTTGCTCATAGCCATCTTCAAGTGAGTTCTCCTCCACATCTTTGTGTCTTAATTCAGTCATAAATTCAGCTTTTCTCTGCTTAGCTTAGCTTCGATGCTAATACCTTGTTATATCTAATACCACTTTATGGTGTTCCTGCACAGCTTTACGTTCCAGACCGTTCAGGACAACACAGACAGAATTTGGAAGTTTCAAAGATACGAGCTGATCAAGGAGTACCACAGCCGCCCTACTGCCCCTCCTCCTTTCATCATCTTCAGCCATTTTTACCTCTTCATCAGGAGCATGGCGCTGTGCAGGCCCCCCATCATGAGCAAGGAGTTTAGTAAGTATTGACTTTTTTATCTCTCTAATTGTATCACTCTGTTAAAAGGCTTTATGTATCATACAATAACGATTTTTAGACTACTCTCTAATCTAATCAAAGCATGAAGGTTTGTTATTGGCCTTAGAAGTAGTACTTTTACAAACAAAGACATCTCACGCACAACATCCACTTTATGGAGATTTTCCAGAGCTTTCATGCACAGCTCATGGCCTTCATCAGCAGGTGAAGTTCACTCTGCCGTCTCGGAGATGGTTCAGTTGTTAACATCATGTGACCTAGGTATGGAATCTTGGTTTATGAGGGAGGACCTTTGACCCCTTCACAGACGATGCTGTGGCTGAAAGAGTGTTAGACCTTCTACACGTGTGAATGCAAAATCAAACTTGATATCGAGGTAATACACGATCACGTCAGTAGATGGCGCTGTGGTGCTGCTGTGGATCCATTAGAGCTACAGGCTCTGCTCATGCGCAGCTCAGAGTAAAACTACCTCTGGCCTGAGCATGGCGATAACGTCGGTCCTCTCTCTGTATTAATTCACAGTTAGATCTATTGGCTACACATTTCCGCATGGTAACACATGCACAGTGTTACTGAAACAGCATGTGACGCTGTTTTTCAGAGAGCGAGCTACCTCAGATGGAGGAAGAGGAGCTGTTGTCCTGGGAGGCCTTGATGAAGGACAGATACCTGCTGTCCACACAGCAGGAGCAGAGCCAGAGCATGGAGCGACGCATCCTGGACACGTCCCAGAAGTAAGAGTCCCACAGAGATGTTGTCCAGTGTAACTGCATGACAATGCTCCAGAGCCTCCAGAGGTTTAAATTCTACTTTGCCGAAACATAAAGAGTATATAAGGTTGAACAGTCTAGGAGTGATATTCCAATGAATAACAGACACCCGCACTGTGCTTGTGTGCTTCCTGAGGGTTACCACCATAACTGATCGACTGGAGAGGGAAGAGGAGACGGGCTCTGCTGCCGTGATGCAAAGAATGGCTCGACTAGAGGAGCAGGTTGTGACCTGATATTTGGTTATCGCTGATGTAGCACCTGTGCCTGTAACATTTCACACTGTGTCTGTGGGAGTGCAAGTCACGATGCAGGAAAGAGATGACACACTTCTTAACGTGTTACATTTTCTCTCCAGATGTCCCCGGTGGAAAATCGGTCATCTTCAGTCTTGTCTAAGAAGTCATCAAAAGTTTTATTTTGTCTCACCAGGTCGTCCAGTCAGCCAAAGCCCTGCAGTGGATTATGGACAGTCTGAAATGTCAGGGTTTCGCAGGAAAAGAAGCACAACCACCAAGTACAACAACCAACTTCCTCATTCATTATTATTAGTTAACATACTGCAGGTCAAATCTCCTCTTTGTTTGCGCTGAGTTTTATCCTTCCCTGCAGCATTGACTACAACAGACGAGTCCCCCGACACTTTGAGAAATGCATCGGAGAGAGAGGACAGGTTCCACGTGAACGCCCGTCAGCTTCACTACCCGAACAGCAAACTCACGCGCTTTCCTGTGCCTGAGGAGAAGGTGCCATGGGAGGTATTCACAAAACCACCAGCTGCTGGATTCCCCACAACACCACTGCATAAAAAGATGGTTCATTGGATCCTTTTTTTAATTTCAGGTCAGCTTCAGCTCATACATGCCGGTTTATTATGCCTCTGAAGACAGCGGAGACAACGTGGATGGGTATGTTTTTACCAAGAGAAGACAGTACATGATGTTTTGTTCCTATTAGGGTTTATTAGTGTATCTATGTGCAGTTAGGACACATTATTATGAGTGTTTTTGTCAAGATAACCAAAGAGTTTCCTGCTTATCTCTTATGTTTCATTTATTATTTCTCCTTACAGATCAGAATCAGAAGCCGTAGGTAATTACAGGTATGATACTGGATAAGATACACAAGGCATCAAACAGCAAACAAGTATAACTTTACAACCATGCCTGCATGTCTGATGTGTATCTGATCTGCTCATTAGAAACCCAGGAGGAAGGACTGGCATCAGGGGACGAGGTGCACTAAGCCACCTTGGTCCAAATCGGAATGCAGACCTTGTGCTTACACGGTAGGTCCCCTCGTGTCCTTACAGTACTTTTGGATTGCATTGGCCTGGTCAATGACATTGAAAATTCATTTTTAGCATGCGAGACAGCGAGAATTCAGTGTTGGAGTATCTGGTGGTTTGGGATGAGAGGCATGGGACCTTGGCTTTACCCGGGGTGAGTCCCGCTGTTTGTTCACCTCAGCTGGTTTTTACTTTTTGTTCAAAATAAATGTACCTTTCTGTTGTGGCTTTGAAACCTTCAGGGACATCTCGAGTCGCCTCATCACTTGCCAGTGGCTCTTAAGAAAACCATGGGGAAGTTGCTGTATGAAAAAATAAATGCAAAAGTTGCTGAGGGAACAAAGGTATGTCTGATCAACGCTTTGGTTTGCCTTCATAGAGAAGGGCTTGTATGTTCCTAGAGGGGATATTTGGTTTAAGAGACACACGAATATGAAATGAAGTACAGAGGTGAATAAAAAGCAGGCAGAAGATGTCACTAGAAGCCACATGTTATTTGCAGCTGGTAGGAGAGATTTTGTTAAAAAAAAAAGCCAAAACCTTCTTGGTAAAGTAAGTAAAACAACAATAAAATGCATTCAATTACATATTTAAATCACAGACAAGCAAGAATTGTCAAAGAATAAGAACAAACCGAGTCAAGGAGGCGTCTAGAAAATGAGTTTAACAATGACAAAGTCTTGAGATGAGTTTTAATCACTCAACATAATTTGCCAGTCTGACCTCCAAAGGGAGAAAATAATTAGAAGCCGTGACAGTAAAAGGTTGATCAGTAAAAGGTAACTCACTTTGATTTACAGTAGAAGAAATGTGTTATTTAGAATTGGTCAAATCAAATTACCCTCACAAAAACATGCTGACATCGATGCATATTTTAAATAATCCTTGACAATGTCACTATAATCTGATTGCCCATCTTTTCAAAAGTAAACCTGATTACATGTAATCAGTCACTACATAATCCTGCTCGGTTACCAGTTTACTAGGTCCCCCCGAGCTAAAACTAATGCCGTCTTAATACAACAGCCCTGCCATGAATCCATCCAAATCCACTTAAACTGAGAGGTGCTGATTCAATTGTACGATCATTTGGGAAGCTGCAGTTTGTGTTGCTGTTGAACAGTTTAGCCTCATGCTGACAGGTGTTTCTGTTATTCAGCCTGCACTTATTGATGTAAATGGGTTTGGACAAAAGCAGGACGTCTGATCGCGCCAATGTCTTCTCCCACTAACACGTTTTGCATTTAGTTGAGGCTCTTTTCATCTTAAATTAGTCAGTGCCTCTTTAAGAACACACGGCTGTTGTGAGGGATCGAACCTGTTGATGTGTGATTCCTGTCTACGAATTAAATGAATTAGAGGACTGATAATTAATAAACGTGCTTTTCTTGACTCTGAGGAACTTCTTGATTCTGACTCTGCTGTGTTTTAGGTGTTGGAGGGTTATGTGGATGACTGCAGGAACACCGATAACGCCTGGGTGGAAATCACCGTCCTGAACATTCACCTGGACAGAACGAGCCAGTTGATGGTGGATATCAACAGTATGGTGAGGACATTATTATTATTATTATTATTATTTAAGGGTTTTAAATTGTATTGTTTTACAGGAAGAACTTGACTGATGGATTACTCGTTCTCTCTGCATTTTTGGGTGGTATGTGGGGATGACATTCAGGTCGTGACTCCCCCGACAGTGAAGATAGAATTACTTCTTGTTTCCGTGATCGTCTGTGTCTCAGGTGGCGAGCAGCCGTGGCGCTCTTCAGTGGCGGGAGGTGAGCGGCAAAACCAGACTCAGCTCAAACCAAAGAGACTCTCTGCGGCAGGTTGCGGAGCTGCACAACAGGAAGTTCTGATGTTCAACACTGCTGTAGCTTTAAATGTACCTCTCCATCCACGGGGGTTCTTCTCCCTGTTCATGTGGCCTTTGTATTAATTCAGTTGCACTGAAAGCACTTGAAACGAAACACTATAAAGCCATAGGGTATGCCGCTGTGAGTTATCATTTGTATTTGCACAAATGAGGACAGCAAACTAAATGTTAAGCCGACACACTTTATGCATGTGTATGCATACACTAAGAATAAATACCTAAGTTTTTGAGGTAGTTGTACTTCAAATGAGCATTTCCATTTCATTCTACTTCATACTTCTACATTTCAGAGGCAAATATGGTACTTTTTCCTTCCCTGCGTGTAGATGACAGCACAGTTAGTCTTTACTTTAACATACAAATGCAAATCATCATCTTGCTGTGTATGAAATTATGCAAAATAAACCAACCTCCACTATATTAAGTACTATCTCAACCATCAATAATAATGCAACAACAACATTTACAGTATAACGTTATAATAATATAGACCTCTGAAAGGGTCCATAATGAGGTCTGCTTGGCTGCTTTTGGAGTTTAATAGAAAATCATGTGTTGTCTCACATTGTTCTGCAGGGATAATAAACTAAAACTGAACACTTTGGGATTCATTCCTTTGTTATCATTTCTAATATCTGACAGTGTGACAAGCAGGCAGTCTTGCAGTAGTTTCGGAGCAGCGTGTGCAGTTGCTCATTAGCTCAGGCAGAGGTGGCCAGACAGTGCAGTATGGGATTCACACCCTCATCATTCCGCTGCAGGTTTTCCTCCTTCAGATAAATAAGTAAATCAGAAAGCATGCTCTTAACTCTGAAGTTCTACAGAGAGGTGACTTTAATGTGTAACTTTAGTCCACATGTGGCCTTGTGAACTGATTGCACGTTTGCTTGTAAAGATTCAACTCTACAATAACATGAACATGTCTAATCTGTTCTAACATTCCTGCCTTTATTATTATTTGTCCAGTAAAATCCCCGGTGGCCCAGCGCCATTGAAAAGATACAGGTGCTATTTTTAAGCACAGCGTCAGAGAGGTGAATAAAAACGAAGAGCTCTCACTCTGTTCGTGTTTCACGACACAGCAAACCAGAGACACTGCCCTCAGTGAATCACTGGATCACCTGTTATACAACAAAAATATGTAGTTATTAATTATGTGTCTATTGTTATGGCCATAACTTCTGGACACAGGGAGAAATCCCCCCCTGCAGCCATGTGCTCTCAATCGCCTCCAAAACAACAGAAGGTTAAAGTAAAAATCAAATGGATTTATTGTCCAAGAAGTATAGAAACAGATACAGACAGTTACAAACCGAATCACACCATTAATAACAAAACAAATGTATATATAAAATGAAAGTAAGATCCAATCCGAGCCACCCAGGAGGCTGGTCTGCCTCCTCGGTGGCCAGCAGATCTGAAATCCCCCAGCGCTTCAAACCTTTTGTCCCCCCAGAGTTACATTCCTCAGCTCATCGATCAGCTCATTGATTGGCTGAAGTCCAACAAGCCCCACCTGGGCCTATGCCCCATTGTCCTAAACTTCACACCTCTCCCAGCCACTTCCACACAACCCCTGCTCCAGCACATTCCTCAAACCCCCTCTCACAGACACTTAATGCATGAAATGACCAGACTCCTACAAGTAAATATACTGTATCACATTATATCCATAATTAGGAGCTTATATTATATAAGCAAATATTAAACTAAATTATCAGAGAAACCATTTGATAATGCTCCAGGGATACACAATATATTATTCAGTAATACAGAATCAAAAAACTTAAAAATGTAATATCTGTTGAATACTTTATTTATTTAAGGTATTATTTACGCTATTGGTGTATTTTATGAGAGAACTAGCACTGTATATGAGAATGAAAACAGCAAATACATTATTAATGCCTTAAAAGTATTAAAAGAGACTCTATTGTTGTGTTTTGTCTTTTATTATGTTATAATGCTGTTTACATTGTGTGATCTACTTGCATATGTTGTGCATTTTCTACTTCAATAATATAAAAACAAATAAAGCAAAATAAATGGACTCTTTGTTCTAATACACGATCTTCGATCACGTGAGCGGTTTACAGGTGCACCGGCCAGAGAGTGTCCGGAAGTGACGTGACACGCTCACAAGAGCATACTATTGGATGGAGAGAGAGAGCGAGAGAGAGGGAGAGAGAGAGAGAGAGGGAGAGAGAGCGAGAGAGAGAGCGCGAGAGAGAGGGAAAGAGAGAGAGAGCGAGAGAGAGGGAGAGAGAGAGAGAGAGAGAGAGAGAGGAAGAGAGGGAGGGAGAGAGAGAGAGAGAGAGAGAGAGGGAGGGAGAGAGAGAGAGAGCGCAGCCAGCGGACATCTCTGAGAGATTCAACGGAGCTTAACGGTAATATTCTCAATTTTTGTCAGACTTTCATCGCGAGACGCAGCGTTATAGTGACATTAAAACCCCTCACGTGTGCATAGTTTGTCGAGGAACGATAGAGTTTGATCCCACTAACGTAACGTGTGCTGGCTGGGACAGCTGCGGTAAACATTAGGCAGTAACACGACAACCATGGACTTCTTTCTTCGCTTTTCATTATGCAACCGAGTGGATCATCCTGCTGAATATTGAACTAGAAACTCTTTCTCTTCTAAATTTGAAGCAGGAGATTATAGGCTGCTGCAGGAGAGGAGGCTAAATTATAGTGTCTGGAGAAGTTTGTCTTTCAGTGAGGTGGTGTTACTCAGAATGCACTTTTGTTCAGTATTTGTCGACTACGTGGGAGAGTAAAAACAGATCCTGGATGGAAGAGTTTGGCTCTGAGTTGACATCCTGTCTTTTCCATGCTGTGCACTATTTGTCGTTGTAAACACGCAGGTACCAGTTTGTTCGTTACACCTTTACAGCTTTAACTAACACAACAGCCCTGCAGTGAGCCCTACCTCCTTTAAAGGTATAATGTCCTGTTTTAAATGAAGCTTTGTGGTCACTTTTGAGGCAATAAGACGCGTTTCTAATAGTTTGTCCACCCTGTTTATATCATATAGAGGAGACTGAATATTATGCACACCTCTCAGTATAATGCAATACTTTTAAACTGCATTACAAACCAGGAATTGGTCTCGAGTCTTGCTTTATGAAGTCCTGAGACAAATAAAAGTCTATATAAACAAGTAATTATGCACCCTTCATGCAATGATTGTATTATGATAGAATGATTGCCCTTTAAAAGTTGTAGTTATTACTTTATATACACGATGTGTTTGTAAGGAGTTGATTGGCTGCATCACCTTTTTTTAATAATATAAATGTAATATTTGGGCTTAGGGGAGGATATCAAGTCATTACAAAGAAAGAAAGTTCAGTCATTGGTGTCAGTGTCAGAGTCCAGCCTGTCTCTCCACTTCTGTCAGAAACTGCAGACCAAAGAGTTGAATCAAACACCGACATAAAACAGTTCTCTGTCCTCTCTGTGAGCGTCTCTCAGCCGACATCTGAAGCCGATCACGGGCGATCATTCATCGCTCTTCCACGGAAGCCTCTCGTGTCACAACGGTTCATCTCTCAGCGGCTGGATGCTGTGTGCTGTCACAGCCAGCAAAGCATTGTGTTCCACCCTCATTGTGCCGAGTGCGGCATTTCCAGTAAGCGTCCACGTGTGTGTCACTGATGGCGTCGCCTCTTTTGTAACCGCTGCCCGGCTGCTGGTGCAGTTACAGGTCACACACACACACACACACACACACACACACTCACACACGCACACTCGGGGCCCCAATCAGCCAAATGTGCCCCCCACCCACTCTAGGCGCATTGAAAGCTACACCTCTCAGGTGTTCTTAACTACTGCACGGAGGCACCAGGTTTACAGCAAACATGAGCAGCTACAAGTGGGGCCCAGTGGGGCCTTTTCAAGCTAATTTGACCTTTTTGTTATGTAGGAGTAACTCTTTTTATACAGCGGAAGCATGGACATTCAACATCAAAGGGAATTGAATTCCACATTGTTAAATTGGGTTCATTTATTACAATAAATATGGACATTGTAGTTTATTATCACACCATCCTAGTGGCAAAAATACTCACAAGCATACCAAATGTGTATTAATCCGCGACTGAAAGTAGTGCCAAATGCACTTTGATTGCTGTTTTATAAAAATTACTTTTTTGAAAAGTTTTGAAATGTTTCTCGTCCATTTTGGCCAAAAATATAATGTTAATTTTTGACCCAAAGACTTGCGTATTCAGTAGAGATGAATGGGCGTGACGTGTCACAGGCAGGATGTCAGGGAGTATTAAAAGACTCAATAACTCATGGGATTTGTTGACAATAACACAAATATAGAATAGCACCATCCCGTCTTTAAGCGGTTCAGGAATCTGTGTTTATGTAATTGACATGTGTGGCGACAGCAGCGATGTAGCCCTGCAGCCGGTCGGATCTCTGTAATCTCAGCCCCGGAGACTCGTTTGTTTTGGGTCGCGTTAGTACAGCGGTGACTCCACTCAGTGTCATGTCCCATCAGGCTTAATGAATAAGCTCGTTGCTGTGTTTCATAAGCTGCAACAACAATTAACGTGTGAGGTTCTTATGTTGTCAGCAGTGGTGTGCTGCCCCACTGATGAAGATCAATTATTATGTTACTACAGCGGCGGCTGTAATGTGGAAGAAAGTAGTCCGCTGTCTGATTTTAAAGGTTTGTGTTTGAGTGTGATTCTCTCTGGTCTACATTAGCCACTTATTAGTTAGTCTGTCGCAATTATTACACAATTGCACGATTGCGATTATTTGACCATGTTTGCATAATCGTCCACGGTCAATGGCAGAAAATTGGCATTGACTTTAATGTTGGTTGAGTGCTAAATCTGGGCTCAGTGTTGCTCAAGGTTTTCCATCAAATGCAATGTTCAAGTAGACGGTGCGACACGCAGAGAGACTCTATGAAACGAGTAATCGTCAATAATTTGTCAATTGTCAAGCAGAAATCCTAAAAAGAAGATCGTAATAAGCATTTTTCACAAGCTTGTGACATTCTATAGACTAAACCATTAACTGTCCGACACCCAATCAAGCAAATCAAACTAGAGCAAATAGATCATAAAGTAAAAGTTTGTGTCACGGCCATTGAAGGGCAGTTGAGTGGAAAAAAAGCCAAACAACAAATGTTGGGCCAAAGGACGTGAACGTCTAGCCTCCTTTCTTTCTCTGTATCGTCACACTCACTCGCCCTCTCTCTCGCTGCCTTTGCTGCCTCGGGCCCTCTCCTCCCTCTCCTTCTGAATGACATTTCTGTAACGACGCCGTCTGAGCTCGGCCTCCATCCTTAGCTCACTGTGCGCCACACGCAGCCTCACATCTGTATCAGACCACTTAATGCCAATAATGGCAACTCGGCTTGATTAAGAAGGCAAGCATCCTCCATCTTTCTTGACTCTCCTGGAGAAAGAGTCAACAAAACACTCACAAGAGACCAATTTCATGTGAGAAAGTTTGATGAAAATGCAGTTAACGTCAATAATGAATTTCTATACAAACATCTACAATGCTTTGGTAGTGTGTGTGTGTGTGTGTGTGTGTGTGTGTGATGTCACGCAGCGGCACATAAATGCACTTCTCTCTTGTGATGTGTCTGCTAACCGAGCTTCTATAATTAACACGGCCTGCAGCGCCTCATGGGGAGCACATTAACACACACGAGTGGAGGAGCAAGAACCAGAGCACATGCACAAGTCATACCGTGTGTGTGTGTGTGTGTGTGTGCGTGTGTGTGTGGGTGTGGTTGGCAGTATCTCTGACCGCTGATGTGTGCATCTGTATAATAATATGGGAATAAAAAGGATGCACAAACTGAGTATTACGCCACTTTTGTCAAATAATTGAGATTTTTTGGGGGGATAATCATGCAGCTGTGTAGAGTGCATACTCTGTGTACAGTGTGTGCTCTGCCCTGCACTCCCCTCCCCTCTCTGTACATGTAACCTCACACTCCTTCTCACGTCCTCCATCCAGGGATGTGGAAGTGCACGTGAACATGACATCCCAGCGTAATTCTTCTTTGGTGAAGTAATTAGCCGCAAGAAGGTTGGAGAGATGTCGTAAAACGTTTACATTATCTGCTGCGTGCCACATTATAGCTCCACACGCAATCCCATAAATCACACCGGGGATCACAGGTGCATTGAGTTGAGGCCTTCTGTCCGTTTGCTCCATGCCGTCTACTCCGAACTTGCGATAAAGAGGCAACCTGGTGTGGATGGATTGCTGTGGTGCAGGAGCGCTGAACGGCCATTGTTATGTAATTTCCTCTCGCCGTGGATTGGTCGGGGCCGTGGGGTTTGTTGGTGGGCTCAGCGCGATAATCTCACGAGCATTATCCGTCTCTGGGAATCAGCGGTTGTTGCGGGAGGAAAGACTCGCTCATCCGTGCCTGGTTTTTGTAGAGCGACCAATGAGCTGGGCTGCTTCTATCATCCATCTTAGCCAAACGGGTTTATCCTTGAGCACGAAGTCCACATGTTAAGGACCAATCTATACTCATTAGTTTAGGCAGTTCCCCGATTCATCGCACTTCCTCTCTCCAGTTAGTCCAACGGCTGACGAGCTGGCTCTGGGATGTGTGGTTATTATCTGAAGATGGTACCAAAGAAGCATATTATTATATATATTCAAACAGTCCTAACAACAACAACAACACTGCCACACCACCTAATCGCAGGGATTGTGATGCGACAGCTGTGTCCGGAGGCATTAAGTTTTCGGGTTGTCCGTCCCGTTATCGTGCACATTTTGGCACAAACTTCCTGTCGGACTCGAGGTTGAACTGATTCAATTTTGATCGCCCCTCCCATTCTCCTGAACTGAATAATTCACACGACAATTATGACAACTTCACACAGAAGTGACGACATTTTGACCAGACGTGTGTGTGTGTGTAAACATGACTAGTTGGAGGCAGACCACCATGAGGCATGTAAAAATAACAATGTAAGTTATTTCAAGTTTTGCAAATACAGGAGACGTTAAATATATTCAGACATTGGAGTGGACTGTGAAAGAAAATGAATAAAACATATATAAAATAAAGCAACACAACCAAGCAGACTCTCGGGCTCTGTTAACAAAAATGTGCAATGTGTGCGCAATGCCCAAGTCCTATAAGGACAGAGGGAAAAGCTTTCTGTTTATGGCTTTATGTTGACTAAAATGTTTGTTCTGTAAACAAACATGCACGTCAACACAACAGACAACACAGAGATCAGCAGCAATAATATTCAAATATTGCTTGATAAGCCAATACAGTAATTATTGGAGCAGGCCTACCTTAAAAAAGACATCTACTAGATTCAGCTGCTTGTGCTGAAGCACTTCGTTGTGTTTTTTGTAATCGTGTGTGTGTGTGTGTGTGTGTGTGTGTGTGTGGGCCAGAGTGTGTCTACCTGGCCGCTGCATGCGGTGGCAGATTGTAAAGGTAAAGCGCTGTAAGCTGCGATGCTGCTGTTTCTCTTATTCATGCAGAGGACACAGGAGCTGTCAGTGGTGTTGTTCCGCTGCTGGTGAAATAGTAATGAGTGTGCATAACGGAGCTCAGTGTGCTTTACAGCCCCGTTGGACCTGGAGGCGAGCCAGAGCATCGCGTGTGTGTGTGTGTGTGTACCGATGATGGAGACAGGACGGGAGGCTTCGGCTACCGCTGTAGAAAAGCTAATCGTTTGGGCTCAAATATCACAAAAACCTTAATTTGATAAATAATTCACAGTAATGTGGATGTAATGACTAAATGGGTAAATATTAGACGGTCTGGTAAGTTCAGAAAATTACATGATTTTACTGTAATGCAGCAGTTAAACTTGCCATATTGGGATACATAAAATCATACACTATATCTAGTTTCATATCACAACCTAAGACATCTTAAACCCTCTAAACTTTGATCATCAATACATAGTTTCAGTCACTTTTCAAGCAAAAATCTGAAGATTTGTTGCTTTCATCTCTTTTTCTTATTGTAAGTTTAATATTTTAGTTTTGTTTGTCTGACAATACGAGAGGTTTGGAGACGCCACACTGAGCTCTGTGAGGATTTCAGTTTGAGTTTGCATTGTTAGAGTGTTGTGTCTCCTTTTAAAGGTTGAGTATCAAGCCTTAATGTTGTGTTATTAACTTCACTTTGATTGGAATGGAGTCTGATTTACTTTACACAAATGTCCTAATGTCCTATATGACTGATGGGTAGAAAGTCCTCACAAGTCAATACTGCTCTGGTGAGTTTAAAGTAACTACATACTTAAAACACTGGAAAGCCTCTTTAGCTTCAGACTAAGTCGCTCATTTTGACTTAACACTGAAAATAAAGACACAACAACAAACAGATAATGTCACCGCTAATAGTACTTTAACGTGATTTTTGTGATGAGACGGGTAAGAGGGAGACGTTTGAGGAGCTTTTTATTTATTTTTTAACTTGTGTGGTATTGCGGTAGAATCCTTTGGCTGTGTCTCATGAAACCTTATACTATATAAACAACTGACTTTGGGGTATTGGCTTTCAAAGAGTTTCATTTCTATTTAAGAACACTTTAAGGTTTCTTTACACAACACTTTGTTGCTTTGCTCGTTTCCTCGTGAGCACACAGGCTTGTGATCTGCTGACCTTTGGACTTTTCAGGCATTGAGCAGAGCTCGATATTCTCGCTGAGCAAGCACTTCAGCTGTTTCAATTCCACCCTCCTATTGATATCCAACACTCTCTATCGCTCTCCACCAATATTTAACTAGAACTGCATTTTTTGGGGGGGGGGGGGATTCCCCTGCTGTGTTTTTTATGTACGGTGTTTACCGGAGCGTGTCTGCAGCAACATTACACCCACTCCTGTTCTCCTCGAGGCCGAGAGAGAATGCTTTGCATTGTGTTCATGTTGGACTTTGCATCACAAAGGTGTAGTTTTCACAGCTCCAGCCATCACCTTAACACGCTCTCCGTTCCCTAACGTCGGCCCCATTAGGGCCGGCATCCTCGGCCATCTGCACCGGGACTCATTTGTCATTTCACGCCGTTTATTGTTGTTTGGAAGTCTCCCCCTCAGCCTCACCCCGGGATACCGGACCTCCCCCCTCTGCCAGCCCTGCAGGGGTGTGGCCTGAGGACGGAGATTTGACAATGCTGCTCCAATTTCCCAACCCCCCACCCACCATGCATCCCTACATTCCTGCTGCTCCCTCCCCGTCTTCATCTTCCACAGAGGTTTGGGATGGGGTGGAGCATCTGTTCCCTCTCAGAGCTCTCTTTGGATATACCCCCTCTGGTAGCACTTATTCTCAATCACTGTCATCACCACACACAAACAAATATATATCTGAGCTGCATCACCCTTTTCTCTCCAGTCTTTTGATGATCTGGTGACTCAAGCGTTGAGTACATTTTTCTTAATGTCACCCTGAAAATGTTGCAGATGGCGATACCTTTTGTTAACTCTTTAATTGTATATCGTGGACTCTGTGTCTGTGCTTCATTAACACGTCGCTAAATGATGAACCCTCTCCGTGTGCGTTGATGCAGGCGAGAAGCAAGACGCAGCCGAACCTGACCCCAGAACTGTGAGATGCTCAGAGACCAGCTGACAGGTCAGTACGTGGACCAATGCACGGAAGCTGACTGGCTGAAGGAAGCGGTTTGACTTCAGTACGCTGGGAGAGACGTAAAAATTACCTTTTGTGGAGAGAAACGAGCGGCTCTCTCTTCCGACTTTCTGGATCTGACCTTTTTAATTTTTTCTCTGACTGCCGTAGTCCTTCAGCCCTGAAGCTTGAACTTTCTTATGGACCGTTGTCCGCATCATGAGAAACTTCAATCGGTCACATTTAGCTGATATTAATACATAACGCCATGTTAAAAAAATGGAGTACATGTGCTGATACGTCCTAGCTCACCCAGACAGGTGCAGGTCTGAACTGAATGAAATCTTTTGTCACACATGTACAGTCCATGCTAGAATACGGGATACACCGTGCAGTCATACGTGGGATTGGCATGACTGATTTTTTTTTTTGTACAAAGGGATTTTCTCTTGTGCAGCAGCCGTCTGTCCTACTTACAGAGACGCCACTGCAGCGAACCTGCTGTTCCCAGCTGGTGCTGCTTTGAAATGCATCTCCCCCACTCCTCCTCTCCTCTTCATCTCCCTTTACTCCTCCTCTCTGAGTCTGTGCAGAAGGCTCCCCCCCCTCCTCTGCTCTTTGAGCCGCGTCCTCTCTGCGTCAGACAGCTCCATTCATGAAAAGTGTGACGTGAGCAGGTCTTCAGAGACCGGGTGACGCTGCCAGCCACCCACTCACATCCCAGGTGCTGCGGGAGTTAGAGGAATGTCCGCCGCTCTCCGGCATCTGTCTCCCTCTTTTCCCTGCTTTTCGAGCCAGTTTTTTTTCTCTCCATCTTGACCGTCAGTTCAGCCTCCCTCCGCCCGGCTTTTATTTCTTTTTTTTTTGTCTCCATCCGTGCCTCAGAGCTGTGCGAGGACCATGAATCTGAGCTGTGAGTAATCTGCTGATGCTGTGTCTTTGCCGTACATCTCGGTAAAAACAGTGCGACGTGGAGGTTCTTCTGCTTGTAAATTTGTCTTATATGTTGTTTTCTTTCATTGTACTTCTTTGATGTGTGTGTGTGTGTGCTGTTTGTACTGAACGTGGATCAGCTGTGTAAGTGTTTGTTCAGTAGCAGTGCTGCAGGAGTGTGTTGAGCGCTCGTGCGTCGGTGCGTGCGGGAGCTATTTTAGGCTCAGCGGTGATGATGCTGCTGCTGCTGCTGCTTTTTGATGCAGTCTGTCTCCTTGCCCTCTGAAGGACAGGTTGGGATGCAGGCAGAGGTTTAGACCAACAGACCCCACCTCCCCCCCTCCTGATGGAGCAGCCAGATGATACTCTGAGGCATTAGAGCGCCGGTGGTCAGAGAGGGCAGACTTTTCTGGGACACACGTGTATTGCGCACAGCCACAGGCTTTTCAGTGTGTGTGTGTGTGTGTGTCATAAACAAATCACATTCAGGTTTTCTCTTTGTATATTTGACTTTTCTCCCCCGAACTGCGTATTCATCAATCTCTGTATTTGACTAGGATACCAGGAAAGCTGTGCATGCCCACCTCTGTCCTCCACTGAACACGTTTATGTAACTGCACAGGATGAGTAGCTGGCAGCCGGGCTTTAGTGGAGAGGAGGAGGAGGAGGAGGAGGAGGAGGAAGGGAGAGCTCCATCCATCCATTCTCCACACAGAGCGTTAAGAATAATGGCTGCATATTCACATCCCTGTAGAGTTTGCCATTTGGATTGTATTTCTAGGGTGTCTAACACGGGGTACCGGATTAAATATTAAAAGATAGCTGAGGCGCGTGTTGCAGGGTATGAACCCAGGAGCTAATAGCAGCACTAATGTGTATTGATTTCCTGGTTTTCTGCTGTGGAGCCGTATTCAGGCAGAAGAAAGGACACGTAGTACAACACCCACTTCCTCTTGTTAAACCCGACATGCCCCATTTTTGTTATTTTAATGCGCCGTAGCTTTGTGTATTTTTAATATTGCAACCATTAAAATGGCGTCAGTCACAGCCGGTCTCCTGCAATATGGTTGTTTGTCTGTTGTGTCACTTTTTGTGCGTCTGTCTCTCTCGCTCCTCGGCCCTTGTTGGCGGTGCAGGCGGGCCGGCCCTATTAAAAGAGCACAAGGGGGATTGTTGTGGCAGCAGCTGCTCTGGTGTGCAGTGCTGAGTGTGTGTGTGTGTGTGTCTCCTGGCCGTGCAGGGCAGACAGGCCCAGTTCACATGGAGCCGGCTCCTCTTGTGTCCTTTGTTGTCGCTCTGGGAGTCTTTCCCATTGGAGCGTGGTCAGTACAGTATCGTGCCGCAAGCAGCAGCAGAAAAGCAGTTTCTCTTTTCTCCTTTTGTGTCCGTCGCTCATTTGTTTTTTCCTGTTTCCAGCAACAAAATTGTCCTCGCTATCTCCCCTCATCTGCTTTTCTTCTTCTACTCTTTCTCTCAGCCCTCCATTGTCTCCTTGGCCCCACCGTCTCCTTTCCATCTGTTTGCAGAGCAGAGGATGTGTGGTAGCTGAAGATTTTAGGAGGCTGAGTGTCCTGGTTGCACTGAGAGGATTGCAGAGTGAAGCTGGAGGGAGAGTGTGTGACGTGTCCATGGCGCGCACTCTTTCCTTCAGTTATTTATTTTTCTCCAGTTCTGGAGGCTGAAGCTATTTGGGGAACAAGTTCAGTGTGTGTTTGGAGTGCGAATGATTCGCAGCCATGTTAACCCTGAACTGTAGTGTTTTCCTCTAGAATGTGTTGGTCAGCTGTTTGTCGAGCTCACTGACAAACTAGGGAAACCTGCACAGTCAGACTTTGATGTTTTGGACTTCAGAAGGAAAAGGCGAGGTGCCGCTGTTTCTGTTTTTTACACTTTCATCCTCCCGTCGGTCAAACTCTCCGACTCTCTCTGGCGGTTTCATTCATCCACCTGACCGCCCTCCTCCACACCAGGTGATCCCACCTGGAACGTTCCCCGTGGCCTTGACCTTGTTCCCATTTTCCCAGCAGCGCCAGTCAAACCCGAGCAGGCAGGTTTGGCCCGGCAGGGTTTTTCATCGCGCTGTGACCCGCTTCCCCCTCCAGCCACCACCAGGTATTTAAGTCGGCTCAGGTGAGTCACCACAGGGAATCAGAACATGAAGAAAGAGAGCGATTATAGGGAAATGTCAGCAGATGCCTGAATGCCGTGCCAGAATTTGTTTATTTTGCCTTACACCAGCAGATTACTTTCGCCCACCTACACACGGCGGCCCAATCCCCTCTGGCAGGACTCAGGGCCAGGGTAGCGAGGGAAAGCTGATTTAGACGTCGGCCCGCATCCCGACAATCAAATCAGAACTGGGTGGCTGTGTTGGCACGGTCTCGTTTCCGAGGCCTCCGAATTCGATGTTCATATTACTAAATATGTTCTAATTATGTCTGATCACAAAGAAATACTAACTACGAGCAGTGTTTCATAACATTGTTTACTCACACGATGAAAGTCCAAAGTCTGCGTAGACGAGGGAAACGAGAACAAATACCAGAGTTCAGCTGTTCAACGTTGACCCAGAATAACAGACGGTCACGTGTAGTTCAGACTGGAGAGACTCCAGAGCTGCTGATGGTAAGAGACTCTTGCAGTTTATCTAGTTTTCTCTCTAAATCTTTCCCTTGTATTGGTTATTTGAGGTGCTCAGTGGAGACGAGTGCTGCTCTCACCATTCTTATTTTACTGTTTGTTTTAAGAGAAGAGGGATAGAGTCGGGTTCGGGTTGTTTAAAGCAAACATCATCTGTCCTGACTCAGTGTACTGCAGTCAAACATCTCTGCAGGCCTTAGCTGTCTAACACTATGAATGTCAGGTGGATTATATTCTGAGATTTCTACCCATCTTCTTTGGAGGTACAGAGCTATAACATGTAGGTCAATATATTCTGATTAATGCATGATACAACTCTGGAGAGTGAAAACCACTATGTTGTTATTCTGCTTTCCCTGTGTGTGTGTGTGTGTGTGTGTGTGTGTGTGTGTGTGTGTGTGTGTGTGTGTGTGTGTGTGACACGCTTAATAGACCTCCATTCCTTTTTTTCTAGAGTCTTGCATGAGAGTGAGAGTGCGACTGGTAGCAGAAGGTCAGGATGGATGCTGTGTCGACATGGTAATGTGTGAATGATGAGGTGGCGTAGCGGCTAAATTGGCTCTTTGTTGGTGGCGCAGCTGTCACCTAAAGGGAGGTTTCCCCCCTACGGGGCCCAGCAGGGCTTCCCTTAATGAGGAGCAGAGTGATGGAGGAACAGATGATGATGCTGCTGTGTGAGCGTGAATGCATTGTGCACCTCGGTGTATGTTAAAGGTCTGTTTGTTGCTGCATTAATATACATCGTGGAAGGTCCAGCTGCTTCTGTGAAACACTAACTAAACAACCATGCTGGCGTTTGCTGGCGTACAACAAAAACACTCCTTTCCCCAGAGGATTGCTGGGAGTATTGGGATTAATGGATCCTGCCGGAGACGCCCCTGGTCAGAGTGTGTGTGTGTGTGTGAGCATGTGGTCTCAGAACCTGATCCTCCCGCACCACCAGCTGCCACGTACACACACACACACATAAAGTATGTACAGTAACAGTATGACAGTGAGGTCTTTCTCTGCCAACACGGCTCCACGTCTATAAGTGTGCTTGTATGCTAAAGATGTGTTTGTTGTGATGCGTTGTGGTCGTTGACATTAGGTTGCGCTTCGAGAGGCAAGAAAATGAGAGGAAGTGTTTAGAGGATATGTGGAGGGGGAGGGATGAATTGGGTCTGTGTTTGTACAAGCTTGTCTCTACAGCCCTGTAGAGGGATTAAAGGATCAGCCCTTGATAATTTCTCTCTCTCTCTTTTTCTCTCTCTTTATTCTTTTTACCCTCTCTGCTGAGCATCGACATTGTTTCCTTCGCCGAAGCGTTGCGTACTTTATGCAAGCATGTAACAAAATTAAATTTTAACATCAGAGGGACGGTCGGTGCCTCCTTTTCGCCCAGTCACCGCACTTTCGGAAAGTCCTGTAAATAAATGACTGTGTAAATGAAACCCTGGGCCCTTTCTTAATGACGCCCAGACATTATTCATGGGACTCTGTGCACATAGACATCTTCAATTAGAGATTGATGGGGGAGAGCGAGAGGTTCGTTTCCTGTTCGTGGCGTGAGATATAGATGCATAGGCTCGGTCCTGATTAGGAACGAGGAAAGACATTGAGCAGAGAGAGTACAAATGGGTGAAAATAATAAAAGTTTGTCTTGTCAAACTGTGCTCTGTAATCATCATTAAGTCTTAGTTGGGTTATAGGGGTTACTGTGTGTGCACGCTTGTGTCTCAACGTGAGTGTTTCTGTCCAGCCGACCACATCCACCCACTGCGACCCACGTCAGAAGCCCGGCTCCCAGAATCCTCCGTGGGGTAGAATTTCAGCGCAGGCCTCTACTCGCACAGCTCGATTGTCTCCGGCTGTGGAAGGGGACAGATTTATTGGATACCTGAGAGAGCGTTCTCTCCTTCCCCTGCACTCTCAGCACCCTGCTCGGAGACAGGCCTGCATTATAGATGAGCTTCTGGCAGCCGCTACGCTCTCACAGCGCTCGGGTTACCCCCCCCCCCCCCCCCCCCGCGCCCCCCCCCCCCCCCCCCCCCCCGGGGTAGATACACACAGATACAGTACATGCACTCGCACAAGCGCCCGCGTGGACCAACGGATTAGGATGCGTATCATGTAAATGTCAGCATCTCCACTTTGAGGTTTTTTTACTCCCCTTTCTCTTTCTCCATCTTTTCTGCTCTTCATTTTATTGTCTAGTGTCCAAAAAGGCAAAATAACAAATGCATTATTAAACACACACATTAAGGCATGGTGTCGTAGATTTGCAGCATTTCAGCAGCAAAGTTATCTGCATCAGAGGCCGTGGGATCAAAGCTTTAACATGAACGAAGTGTGTGTTTCTGTGTGACTTCCTGTCTGTCTCCTTCAGGAAACCTCCACGTAACACAGAGCCACCTCACTGCCTCTCTGTCTCCTCCCTCCTGGACTTTGTTCCCCGACTGTACACACTGTTCAGCCTCTCGCTATCTCCCTCACTGTGTGTCCCTCACCCTCTGCTGCCCCTTCAAACTTGATTGGATTTCTAAGGGCATGTCTTCAAAAACAGTTTTTAGAAACTGCTTTGTGACGGGGTTTGTGAGACACTTGAGATGCAATTAATAGCACAGAGAAAGGTAATAGATGGACCTTAAACTGAGATTAATATGCCTCATCAATAATTTGACTTAAAGTGACTGAACCAGTGTGTTTGTTCTGCTGCTGGCTGTCGGCCTGTGGTGGCTGTAGTCGTTGCTGCTGGGTAAGCAGTGAGAATGGGCCGTGCGTGCCAGATGTTTTGCTCTCAGCGGTCCTAATACACAGCAAGACTTTTAATCCCTGCTCTGCTGTTACTGCTTCACCGAGAACACGGTAAAGCCCTGGTTGTGTGTGTGTGTGTGTGATTGGTTTAGTTGAACCGTTTCCCAGAATTTTCCCAGAATCAGATAATTTCTATCTACCCAGCGACGTCTTTCATTCAGCAACTCTGTCTTTGTGCTCTGATTTCGGATATTTCTGACCTCCTCCGCCCTGCAGTGTTTGCACTCCATAGTTAAAAATAATCATCATTAATGTAAGCTCTCTCAATCCCAGATCTATGAGAGGAAATGAGAGGATTGCATTTCTCTTTGTGGAAGTAATAGGGCCCCGTGGCACCAGCTACAATCCTGTTCATGTTGTATATCTGATGTATCTACAATCATCCAAATGGATCAGCTTTTTTTATTTTAATCTGCGTTTTATCTTCCATGGACTTTGTTAAAGATAACCTGTCTCTCTCTTTTCTGTCTGTAGGTGATTTTCAACATTCAGAAGACAAACCAGTGTGTTAGGACGCGCCTCCACTCGTTATCACTGGGAAGCCCATGCACATGCACGACACCATGGGCAGCTCCCCTGAGGTGCTCTCGTGGACCTCCTGCCCCAGTCTGCTGGTGGGCAAGCTGAAGGAGGAGCTCAAACACACCGTGGTCGGGGACACCGTGAAGAAATCGAACTCGCCCAACTCCCAACCTCAGCCTCCTCAGGGCCCTCCATCCAACTTACCTCCTCAGATTATCACAGACCTTGCGCCGCCGACACACCTGCCCGTTCCCCTGCAGACTCTGGAGACGCTAGAGACGCTGCAGACGCTGGAGACACTGCGGACGCCGCAGACGCCTGGCCAGGACGAGGACTCCGTGCTGGGGGTCCTGAGTCCCCAGAACACAGCCTTGAGTGTGGACTCGACGCGGAGCGAGGGCGGGCACTTCGAGAACAGCGTGCTCCAGCTGCAAGAGCAGGACCACGAGGAGGCTAGATCGCCGGCCCCCTGTGAGCACTGCGGATGTGGCAGTGGGATGGAGGAGCAGACGGGAGAAGGGGACTGTCCCGTGGAGCACAGTGAAGAGGGGAAGCAGAGCCACCACCATCACCCCGATGACATCAAGCTGCACTTCCAGAGAGCGGGGCCCGGGTCGGGCGGGTTCTTAGAGGGGCTGTTCGGTTGCCTTCGGCCTGTCTGGAACATCATAGGGAAGACGTACTCGACAGAATACAAGCTGCAACAGCAAGGTTAGTTCTGGCTTTTATCAGTCTTCCTGGAATCAATTACGGACACTAAATGCACCGCTGTTCAATTCCATATTGGTGTTGAAGCTGTACAGCTGTCAGTTGCTGCAGGGCTGCCTTCACAGGCTGCACAGAGACGCTGCAGGATCTAGTCCCGGTCAGACAGAACAGGGCTGGGTCTCGTTGTGGGTCCGCTCATGTCCACATGTAGTGGGCAGTATAGCTTCTCCTGTACGCTGGTTTCAAAACCACATAACGAGGACGGAACAGCGCATGACTCACTGTTGGACAGTTTTAGCAGTTAAGCACAGGGCGTTATTTTTTGCTCAGTATGGCTATAAAATATAATATCTAGTGTAAACCATGTTGTGTTTTTCTCTGAGATACTGTGTTTACATGAAGATAGTTTTAGAAAGCTTAAAGTACACGACATTTATTTTGAAAGTGTTGTGTTTTTTCCTCAAGATAGAAGATAGATAGATGTTTTTTTTTAAAGGAATAGTCGTCACGGTCATTTTTGCACTTGAGTTTTTATAGAATAAACAAACAAGATATAAATTGTTGATGTGAGTGAGCTTTAGCTGTTCTGGTAGGTGGATTTTATTCTCTCTGGATTAGGGCTGTACCGGATTGTTCGAAGCATCAAAGCTTTCGGAGTAAGTTATTAATAACTTACAGAAACATTGTGGACAATAGTCCACCTTCTCTTCCCCTCTCTCAAACACACACACACACACACTATGTTGACGAATCTACTCACCAAACTCTCAGAAAGAACGAGACTAAGCTTATTTCTAAAAATGTTGAACTATTCCTCTAAAGAGCAAACGTGACAAAGAATATTGATGTATTGTGTACAGTTCAAAAAGCCTCAATATAAAACTTTTAGCTTTTCATTTGTATGTTTCCAGACATGTGGGAGGTGCCATTTGAGGAGATTTCCGAGTTGCAGTGGCTGGGCAGCGGTGCACAGGGAGCCGTCTTCTTAGGCAAGTTTCGCTCCGAGGAGGTGGCCATCAAGAAGGTGCGTGAGCAGAAGGAGACGGACATCAAACCTCTGCGAAAACTCAAGCATCCAAATATCATCAGCTTCAAGTAAGTCTGCCACCACTCGATCTTGCATGTGACCTGACGTTGTCTGGTTATTTTCCGCTGCTGGATAGCTCTGATGTGCACAGCTTTAAACACAAGTGTGTTTTGTCCATTTTTTAGGGGTGTGTGCACCCAGGCGCCTTGTTACTGCATCATCATGGAGTACTGTGCCCAGGGCCAGCTGTACGAGGTGCTGAGGGCGGGGAGGAAAGTGACCCCCAGGATGCTGGTGGACTGGGCCACAGGCATCGCCAGCGGCATGAACTACCTTCACCTGCACAAGATCATTCACAGAGATCTCAAGTCTCCCAAGTGAGTGTCCTCTTTTTCCTGGTATAGAGCAGGAGCCTCATTCACAATTGACAGTCTGTTATGCAGCAACCCACGGCTGCTGCGGTCTGATCGGCCCACAGCAGCAGCAACAATTCATCCTTTTCAGCTCTGAGTAATCTGACATTCAAATGCCGTCCTCAGAATTAAACGCTAGTGGCCTTGATGTAAGACCGTGTCCAGTGTCATCCTGCTCCTCGGTCTCATCCTGGGCACACTGTAGCCCTCTAGTTTCTCTAATCAATATCATCATGCTGCTGCAGGGCCAAACACTGTATTAGTCAGCAGAATGGCAGCAGGCTGAATGTACTGGAAAGGTCAGTCTCATTCAGCTAATGGGGTGTTTCAGATGCAGAAATGTGCTCCAGTAACAGTTTTTTTACATTGTATTGGTCAGAATGGTTTAACCCAGGTCATCGGGCATGGATTAATGTCAGCCTGACACTCCTTGGCTTCAGTATGAAAGGGTGAACGTGTGTTTTTTTATAATAGCTCTAGAATTGACTGTGCAGTTGATACAGATTATTATAGGACTACCATAAACATGTCGAAGAGAAGTCTGCTAACAAGTCTGTGTGATTTCTGTTTGTGTCTGTCTTCAGTGTTTTGGTCACCTACAACGACACTGTGAAAATCTCCGACTTTGGAACATCCAAAGAGCTCAGTGACAAAAGTACAAAGATGTCATTTGCGGGTACGGTGGCCTGGATGGCCCCGGAAGTGATAAGAAATGAGCCTGTGTCTGAAAAAGTAGACATCTGGTGAGTACTGAAATTACTTTTATTTTAAGAAATAAGAAAGACATTAGGGCAGTGTTCAACTGTGTTAGTATATATCTTAGATAGAAGTCTAATATTCTGAGAGTCTTCTGTTGATGTTGCTGTAGTGAGACCTGACTTGCTTTTCTGTTTAAGGTCGTTTGGAGTTGTGCTTTGGGAACTTCTGACCGTAGAGGTTCCCTACAAAGATGTGGACTCCTCAGCCATCATTTGGGGTGTTGGCAGCAACAGTCTTCACCTTCCTGTCCCCTCGACCTGCCCGGATGGCTTCAAAATCCTCATGAAACAAACATGGTGAGTGCGGATCACATATTCTATGTTAGCACCAGCACATCTGTTAGAATATTGCTGTTAAAAAGGTTTTGTGCTGCGTTAACAAATGCACCACAAAGGTTTGCCTAAAAGAAGCTTCTTAGCGTTCTCATTTAATCATATCTGTCTCTGTTATTTGCTGATTGCAGGCAAAGCAAGCCCAGGAATAGGCCTTCGTTTCGTCAGATCCTCCTACACCTCGACATTGCCTCTGCTGATGTCCTGGGAGCTCCTCAGGAGACCTACTTCAAGTCTCAGGTCAGCGCTGTTGCTGCAAAACCCAATAAGTCACAGTGCTCTCTACTCTTGATATGCACCAACCCTGAGTGTAGTTCACAAGACTTCGACAGTATTTACTTGTTCTAGATGACATTATTCTTATCCGTACAAGTGTGAGTTTCAGTCATTTGTTGGCTTTTGTGTTTGAGAGTGGATTGTCAGCTTTTTGTCCATCCGCATTACAGTCAGAATGGAGAGAGGAAGTGAAGAAACATTTCGAGAAGATCAAAAGTGAAGGCACCTGTATCCACAGGCTGGACGAGGAGCTGATCCGACGCAGGCGGGATGAACTCAGGTGTGTAAGAAAGGAGACATTTATAAGAAAAGTAAACTACAGTAAATGACTAGTATGTTTAGCATGTATCTATTTCTTTGTGTTAATTATGTAGTTTTTTGAAATTGAAGCAGAAGTTGTTAGAGATGAATATTTGTCTGCATTTCTCAAACCCTCAGGCACGCACTGGACATCCGGGAGCACTATGAGCGGAAGCTGGAGAGAGCCAACAACCTCTACATGGAGCTCAGTGCCATCATGCTGCAGCTGGAGGTCCGAGAGAAGGAACTCATGAAGTATGTGAATAAATCCTTTAGCACAGTAGTCATCATCAGCTGGCTTTACTGCTGTCCTGCTCCTTACTTGTGTGTGTACTACCATTTCCTCTTTATAAAAGGCATTTCCAGTCATTTTTGATATTTGAAATTATTACAATGGCTGGCAAGACAACTGACCAAATATGCAGCTCGTGAGAAGAACAGAATAAAAAGTCATTGTTTCAGGTCACGCTCAGTAGGGCGTTTTTAAACCTCTTAGATGATTACTTATCTTTGCTTGGGAGTGACATTTCCTTCCTCTTCTGAATAATTCCTGCGTATGTTGTCCTGTATGCTTTCCCCCAAAAAAGAAAGAAAGAAGTAATTAAAATAGAAAGTCAAATTCAAAGTAAGATCATCTGTTTTGGTTTCAGATACATTTATATAGATTTGTACGCCTTATTTGGTTTCTGCCTCCCGGAGTTTGGAGTCTTTTCACCATCATTTAACTCCAGAATAATTCTGCCGTCCCTGTAGGAGAGAGCAGGCAGTGGAGAAGAAATATCCAGGGACCTATAAGCGTCACCTTGTCAGACCCATCGTCAGGACCAACGCTGTAGAGAAGCTCATCAAGAAGAAAGGAAGCATGTCCCACAAACCGGGGATGCCCCCCACTAAAAGGTCTGAATCGTAGCAGCTGAACAGCTAATTGTAAAAGAAAAGATTTTAATTTCCTGTTTCGGCTGCTGTACATCAATTAGCATTTTCAGGTTCATCTAGAGGATTCATATCCATTAAATAAGTGACAATTCTGAGTGAAGTAGTATGAACTACTAGATGTTCTGGTAAAGCCAGTTGTGTCATTAGAAGACGTGTTGGGGAGAATAAATTGATTTCGATACATTATGTTAATGTTCTCTAATTTATCTCTTTCAGACCCGACTTGCTTCGTTCTGATGGCATCCCCAGCCTCGACCCACTCCCCTCCCCTTCACCTCTATCAGCCAGCCCGAAGGTGTCGACGCCTCCCGGTAAAGCCCGCTACCGAAGCAAGCCCCGTCACCGCCGGGCCAACAGTAAAGGAAGCCACAGCGAGTTCCCCGGGCTGCTGAAGCCTCTTGCTGGGGCATTAGAAGACACCCGGTCTCTCCAGGAGCAGCCGTTCCTCCATCACCACCACCACCACCCACAAACCGAGGGGCCCTTCCTCCCCTTAAAGGGTCGGGAGATGGCCGTTGTCAACTGTGCCAACAACCTGCGCTACTTCGGCCCCGCCGCTCCCCTCCGTAGCCCGCAGACAGACCACCTCCAGCGCCGCGTTTCTGGATTCAGCCCCGACCTCATATCCACCGCTGTGGATGCAGACACGCGACAGCGGACTTCGTCCGCCAGCTCCAATCCTGTTCCAGGTGCTAGTGCTGGTGCTTTGTGTCCCTGCTGCCAGGCTCACCCCTTCCCTGGCTGCCTACACTGTCAGGAGACCCCTCCTGCATCAAGCCATCCGGAGTTGCCCCGCTACTCTCTGCTCAACACCCAGGAAGGTACCGCATCTTCTTTGGGGGCTCCCAGCAAAGATCCCGCCTCGGACGGAGAGGCCACAAAGAAGGCTCAGCCACAAGAACAAGAGGCGTCCCAGCGCACTCGCACCCTGCTCACTGCACTGCCCCGCACGCTCAGACCTCTCAGGAAGGTGAGCAAAGCTGGTAGCCTTCCATCGTTTGGTCTTTAGTACGCGTTTGTGTTAAGAAAACTGTGAAAGATGATTTATTAACAGCTGTAATTGCTTCTCTTACAGGGTGGTGACGAGTCATCTGAGGAGGAAGAGGGTGAGGTTGACAGTGAAGTAGAGTTTCCAAGGAGACCGAGGTAAGATACAGTTACAATTCATTAAAGCTGGGGTCGGCAGTTTCTTTTGGTCATCGTTGGGCAAGCCCGCGGTTCTCCGGTAAGCAGAGATGCTTTGACGGTAGACTTTGGTCAAGCTAGCAGAGCAACAGAGATGAAGACTCAACTGACAGCTGAGAAGATAAAACACAAAAGCCATTTCAGAGAGAGGGCGTTCCTATTGGCTGTTTTACAAATGCAAATATGGGTGCGCGTCTCTTCAGAAGGTGAAAGCCTGATTCAATGGCGGAATATCCTGCAGAAAAGGTTTCTATTCCAGCATTGGCAACGACTGCCTACACTGCAAAGCAGTAAAACTCATAAAAGTTTGACCTGAACAACCTTTGCTCTTACAGGTTACTGTGTTAAGTGTGAGCACACACCTGTTCTCTTTTGGTGGGAGGGGCTTAGGACAGAGAGGGGAGAGCTGCAGGATGAGGGCTGTATTTTCAAATTCTTTCCAGAAAACTGCCCGTCCTAGCTTTAAGTTTGCCACTTTGACCTTAACTGTGCTCCAACACTGTTTCATCATAAGCCAAAATAATCATTATAGTCTGTAACACTGAGACGTCTTTAAGGAAACGTAATTCCTCTGCTCCCTCACAGACCTCATCGCTGTATGAGCAGCTTCCAGTCCTACTCCACATTCAGCTCAGAGAACCTGTCGGTGTCTGACGGAGAGGAGGGAAACACCAGTGACCACTCCCACAGCGGGCCCCTGGAGAGGCTGAGCACCAGTCAGGAGGAACATCTGGATGAGCTGCTGTCGCACACGCCGGACATCCCCATCGACATCTCCACCCAGTCAGATGGCCTCTCTGACAAGGAGTGCGCTGTACGCCGGGTGAAGACCCAGATCTCACTGGGAAAACTGTGCTCCGACGAACACAGCTACGAGGTCCGTACTGCGGATGTGTGTGTGGTCCCGTCGTGTTAGCGCTTTGTATCTTAGCCCTGCTAGTGATGATCAAATAACACAATCGACACTGAATCCGTCTTTTTACTCTCATGTTTCTCCCAGAATCCACTACAGTTTGGGGATTCAGACTGTGATTCATCAGAAGCGGAGTGCTCCGATGCCACCATCAGAAACAACAAAGCCGGGGCTCCTTCCTCGTGGTGAAACCCCCCCC